TCGGAGCCCAGCACTTCTAGCCAATTAGAGGCGAAGGAGGGCGGGACCTTCCCCTACCATTCTACAAAAAATACGTCTGGGACGGATGGCTCCTATTGGTCAATGTTTTTGAAGCCATGCACCTAAACAGATTTTTTCCGTTTTTTTTTCTCTTCACTTTGTGGAGATCGCACTATAAGACCATGATCACCATAGAAACGAGGTTCATGATAATTACCAATCTCTCCAACCGTTAACCATGACTTTAACAGGGTTGAATATCTCAGTATAAATTTAAAAGTTCATTTCATCGTGATGACACAAAGTTTATCTTGCAGTTGTTGTTTAAATGAAGCTCAGAGGACCTCACGACAGTTACATGTCAGTATTTGATGTGCGGCCTCCTCTTCCTGCAGGTTTCTCCCTCTTTGGTTGCCTCCTCCTCTCTCCTCTTTTCTTCTGTACCTCTGTGGTAGAGACAGGTGTCTATTGATTACCCTTAAAATAACTTAATCTATCCCTTTATTTGTCATTTCTTTACCTTTAAATGTGTGTTTTCTTGTCTTTCGCTGACTGTTCATCTTTTGATTCCCTTCCAACTCTCCATGCATCTCCGGTGGGCGGGGCTAAGATTCAAGTGAGCGATGCAAGTGGGGGGTACGAGCCTTTGCATGCTGTTTCTTCATGCAGCGTCTCATTAAAGGAGCCAAACTGATTGGCATCCACTGTGGCTAACGCACCCACTCATGCAAACCCACTTCAAAAATAGCGGCATATCCCTTTAAGAGGATTCAGCTCAAGCCTTGAGTGTATCTGAAGAAATAAAATTGCATTTAAATCCCTATCGTGGTCTCCTCATTAGCATCAGGTTTGAGATGTTTTCTGTGATAGGTTGGGGGTCTCAGGTTGAGATATGACCCCTCTGCTCTGAGTCCGGGTCCCACACACCACCCTCACTTATCTCCTCTCCACAAATGAAGCCGGACAGGAAATCTTAAGCTGTTCATTATGCTAACAACCCGATCTCGAGCATGCACCTCCTCACGGTCAGGCGGCGTTAATTAAGCTGTAATGAGAGATTCAGGACCGTTGTGTTCTCGGCGCTGACATGTGAGGGCCCTTCACTCCGTGTCCTGGAGGTGTCTTCACCCGCATGTGTCCGGGACAATCAATGGTCGTCTCTCAGGAGTCCATTAATGATCTGACCTTTCAGACCTGTTCATGCTTTCCGCATCCTGGGGTCATCTCTGCGGCTGTCTCCTCTTGATTGGCTGTGACTACATTGAAATTCAAGCTCACAGCTGGCTGTGTAATTAAAACACAGGGAGGACTTTTTTTTTTCTCCTACCCTTTGAGATGTAACGGATTAAACCGAAGCATCTGAAATACCGATCGCACCAGCTCCAATCGAAACCTGGACCCAGCCTGGTCTGGAGATTTGATTTTTTTTCTATTAGGTTAACACTGAGTCAGCTTGTTTGGGAGGAAACGGTGACTCACACTTGTTTGTATTTTGTATTTTTGTGTGTGCCCTCAGTTTGTGCCAATATGTGTTTTAAATGTTATTATGGAGCGCAGAAGTGCACTCCTGAATGAAAAGGGTCGCGGCGTTAAAGGTTAACCGCTTCACGCACAAACACAACAATGACTAAGCGTTTTAAACTCCAGCCCTCAGACATTTAGTTCTTGTTTTCGGCGTCACACAGACCTTTTATCACACTGTCTGTCTCTGCTGTTCGAGCTTATTCTGCCTCTGGATTTTGGAGCTCTACAACATTAGTACAACATCGTCATAGTCACCTCCAAATCAACTTTATCGTGTTTCAGCATCAACTAGTGATGGGAAGATCAGTTCTTTTAACTGAACTGAATCTTTAAAATGATTAATTCAAAAGATTCCTCCCCTGCTGCTGAAGTCACAGCGTCGTTCACTGGGTGACACGTGTCGTTCATTCGCCAAGTCGTGAAGGAAGAATCACTCCCCTGCCCTGAAAAACTCACCTCTCTGTGTGTGGAATCAACACAGCAGCGAGCAGCATGCCCACTAAACAAAACTAGGAAAAAACTAAATTTACAGAACAAATCATGACAAAAATAACAGTGAAAAATAGCTCCTCCTCCTCATACTGCGGTTTAATTTGTTTAATATCTTTCTCATTTAGTAGATTTTTAACTGAAGTTTAAAAAAAACTGTATGTATACTAAGTCAAACCTCAATAAAACACATTTTATATGTTAAATTTGACGTGTTTTCTTACGTTAAACATTATAAACTGCACTTGCGTCACAGTATTTGGACCCCAGATCAGGTTTTTTGGAAATAACAGCAGAACTGTCTGAATCTCTCTCTGTCTCCTCTCCACCTCCTGGTACAAACAGCGAAGAAAGACCGAGTTTGACCGGAGGTGTTAATACCGGCGACAGCTCCTCTAAACAGAGCGGACACCCCTCAGATCTTCAGCCTCTGCACGCTCAGACTGCTGAGAGCGGCACGGAGATGGATTGTGTGTCTGTTTGTATTGAACTGAGGGGAACCAGACAGCTGTCAGTCTGAGGTATTTTTAGAGGAGAAGCTAAAATAAACCTGATCTGTGTGTTTGAAGAGCGGGGAAAGGCAGATGGCTGATGAGTTATTATTGGGTAAGAAGGATTTTAGGACATGTGATAATTTTAGTTTTAGACTTGGACTCTGATTATGAAGAGAGGGGACAAATATAGAGGAGTAGAAAATTGGGGAGCATGAACCAGAAAGCAACGAGCCTTGGTTGGAATAAAGACAACAATCATGGAGGATCTGTCATCCAGGTTTAGGCTCAAAACTTTGGTGAGAATATTTCTTGATAGTATCATTCAGAATAAAACAGCCTTTGTGTCCTTGAATGTTCATTTTATTCTCATACGCGTTTTTCTGAAATTCAGCAGATCTCTCCTGCAGTGCCCCGGCTGACTGGAGTTTCGTACAAACTCTGCCCTGGGTCGTGCAAACGGGCTACAACCAAAACTCTGTTCCAGCCAAAATGAGGATAAAAAACAGTGTTGAGGAAGCTCTCTGACCTTCTGTCCCTCCAGCAAGTCTCGCTCCCTGTCCTCTGAAGTAAGAAACAAAACAAGACCCTAAGAGCGTCAAAAAGACTTCTCTTATTTTTCTTAACTGAACTCTCTGGCAGCTAATGCTTCAGGTAAATATGAGGTTATCCATATTTTTAACATCAGCGTTTGTAAATGAGTTTGTGTTTACATCCATCGAATCAAACTTCTCATAATCAGACCAACAATAATGTGGTTGAGGGTTGATTTTCTCTACACAGCACATGCTCCAGACTTTAACCCTTTAGTTATTTGGTGTACAAAACTTTTTACAGAAGAAGTCGAGGAAGGGTTTTAAAATAGATAAAGAGATTAGGTCAACCAAGAGACGACCCAGTAATAACGAACTAAAAAGAGGTTATTATGTCATTACCGATTGCAGCAGAGGCGGCAGACATGCTTCTGTCCATAATTTGATTTGTGTCTGTAGATTTCAAACTGGAACACTTGTCCAGATAATTCACCTAATCAAGCGAGGAATTCAAACTACTTAACCGTGTGTGTAGACTTAGACCTGTACCTTCAGGGACCAGAATCTGTGGTGCAGGATTAGAACGATCTTGTATTTGTCATATTTCAACAATCATGCAACAGCTGATGCACTTTGCATGGCCTCTAATGGTTTGTCTAGGGTGAGCATTCATCCTCTTTTACCTGAACATGTCCTCTTTTCTGGGGGCTCTCCGGCCTTGTCCAGGGGAGTTTATAAAATCCTTTAAATGACCGCGGTTTTGTGTGGAAGTTTAGAGTTTGTGTAGCGTGGACTAACTGAGTTAGAAGTGCGTAAAAAACACTCAACCCGACCCGAAAAACCCCACGTTTTTAGCACGACTCCGCCAAGCTTAGTAGGTTTCTTTTTGGGGGGAATTAAGAATATGGTCACTCTAGGTTACCCGGGATTTCCACCGCGATTTTCTCCGTACGCCAATTTCCACCGGATCTGTTTGTGAGGGGAACAGTTAGTTTGTGAACTATGAACAGCAGTAATCGCTAGAACTGCGGGTTCATGTGCAATCCTACGATAACAAGTCGTCTTCAGCCACGTAGGCTAACCGTATAAGCAGTAGACTGTGTCCTTCCAGAGGAGGAAATCTACTTCTAGACTTCTAGAATCAGCATCTCTTCATCCCTGGTGTCATCGGGGTGAAATAACGTCTGAAAACCTTTCACTTGTTCGTCTCCGCCCATAAAAATACGATCTGCCTGAAACATGGAGAATTTATCCACCATGCTCCCGCGTCTGGAAAAAATAGAACTCATGTGATCAGCTGAGGAGTCCGATGATCTGCAGTGGAACGCAAAGAAGCCGGTGGAAATTGACATATTAACTTAAATGGTTACGATCGGCTACGATTGGCGGATATTTCGTAGGAAATTGGGAGTTAGTCTATCTTTACTGCTGTAGAAACATGGCGGTTCAAGATGGAGGCAAGATACGAAAGCTAAAACAAGTGCTGCTGAAGCGTTGTTACTGTTCATGCACCTTTTTCTGCAGCTTGTTTCTCATGTTTCTACATTTGCAGCGTGTTTCTCCTAATGAAGATTACAGATTGTTGTCCCTCATCGGTTACCATAGAGACCCGCACCTATGTGGACATAAGAGGCTCATTTTAAGTCAATAAAAGCAAAAGGGTTTAAATATTCAGGCGATTACATTCTCACGATTATCATCTTTCATTTTGTATAGTCTGCTCTGCTAAATTCTGCTCAATACTACAAACTGTAAGAAGTTAGAAAACGTCTTTAAACAGGAAGAGTGTGTTTGTGTGTCTCTGTTTGTATTTGCTGCATTAAGTATTTAAAAGATGTCCTCTTTTAACTGTTGTGTTAAACGTTAAAAACAATCATCTGAATGTAAATAAAGGCCGACAGACAGACAGACAGACACAGATGTTCACAGTGAATGTTCTTTAATTAAGACATGTTTTCCAGAGCTGGGTTAGTTCTTTTGTCTCATCAATAATACAGACATTCAGAGGACACATTCTCCACGGTGATGTGCAAAAAAGCATATGAAAGGAAAACAGGTACATTCTCGTTTACTGTTGGCCGTCAAGCCGGAGACACGGACACTTTGTTTTTTTGTTTTTTTTAAGGTTTTTAACTTGTTCCAAACACACAAACAACAACAAGCTCGGGTCATTGCATTGATTTTTAGCGCTTATAAGAGGAGGAGAGCGGGAAACTTTCCAGCCACGCTGTGAGGATAAAAGGCTAGTAACATATCTTTTAATCCCTCAATGGACCAATTACATTTGTTTTTCCAGCCAGCTCACACCTGGGGTTGATTTACTCACCGCAGCTCCTGTCGATGTAAATTCATGTCTATCCGCTCTGGGGAGAAGGGGTTTACATGTATTCTTATCTAACATGTACCGTATTGACTTCCAATGAGGAAAACTGTGACGCTAGTTTCATGCTCCGGTGTTTTAAAGTTTTCACTAATCTGTTAAAAGAGCCTTTTGTTACCCAGTAGACACGGATTATTAAATTTGTAGGTGAAAACGTCGTCTTAAAGGTCAAACTGGAGGAATGTTTCAGATATTTTAGTTACATTCAGGTGATTAATGCTCATTATGTTCATTTTTACACAATTGAAAGACTTCTGTTTAACTTTGGAAACAAAGTTAGTGAAATCTTTGAAAAGTTTCTGTGAACTTTGAAATCCACAGAAGTCCTTTTGGGTTTATTTATTGTAAAACGACGATAACTGAGATCTGTAGATTAAAATAATTTTAAATTTTTTTTTGCTGATATATTGATCGTTTTTTCTTATTTTGGAGTCCATGAAGAGATCGTTTATAGTCAGCTGAGAGTTCAGTCTTAATCCACCGGAGAGTACTTTCCATTTCCTTCACCTCCTAAAAGGGACACTCTGTAGAAAGGAGAATATATGGAAATATCTGTCAGTACTGAACTAATAAAAGTGACAATCGTATCAGTTTTTTTGGTCACTTTACTTGCAGCCGTTTCAGGATTTGAGTTTTTACACCCTTTTACAGATCATAGGATGTTTATTTTAAGAATAAGGAGAATTTATCACTGTTGACGCTCCACAGCGATGTTTGGGTGTTTATTATTTTTTTCCACCTACAAACTCTTCAATGTCTACTGGGTACTCAACATTATGAGTGTCTCACTTATAACCATAGACTGTACATAGAATGGATGCCATCTGACTCCTCGCTGGGTGAAGCCAGCATGAGAGCAGCACCCTCTGGTGGCGGGCTGCAGTATAGGTCATAAATCCCGCCTCCTCCAGCAATCCCCATGGAGCTGTGGACGAAACTCTTTTTTCTGTACAGCTCCATTTTTAAATGTTGTAAGGGGGTTCATGTTTTCTATGATTGACACTTGACACAGCCTATGGGTGTACGAAGGTTGCGTAGCTCAACTGGGGAGACACTGTTTGAGCCGAGCGTCATCACAGCTACTCAGGGCTTGACAGTGCGACCATTTCACTCGCATTTGTGACTAAAAATAGATAAAAATAATAGGCGACAAATGATTTTTTCATTTAAATACCGCAGTGAAGTTAGTTTTAGTTTGGATATTTGACAGACATTCACCGGTGTCTTCTCACTCTCCATGACCAGGAATAACAACAGCAGCGCGGTTATATCTACTCCTCGCTGTCAACGCCGAGTTTTGAATAATGGACCATCAATAAATTACCGGTTGATGTTCTCAGAAAAGGCTGTTTTCTTTCAATAGCTTCCATGTCATGTGACCAATTGACCTAAAATTGATTTCGAATAATAGTACTTAAGTCGACCAATAAGACAAACATTATTTGATCAATTTTCATCGTGCCCCTTAAGTTCTTTGTGTGCTCCTTTTTTCAACTTAGGAGAACATGTGCTCCTTGTGAAAAAAGTTCGTGTCAAGCCCTGCTACTGTGCAAGTGGAGGAGAAAATCCCGGAAATACTGAGAGAAATTCGGCTTCAAATCCGTGTACTGACTGAAGGCGGAGCCAAGTTGTCCATAATTTATACAGTCTGTGGTTAAAACCTCCAAACCTTCCCGACCTTTGAAGCAGGAGAAACTTTGGCACAGAGATCAAAACAAAGACAGACACAGACACTGAATGCACACATTCACACACAGGGGGGTCTCTTTCAAGGAAGAACAGGTCCTAGAGCACACACACAAACACACACACTCACACTCACACACACACACACACTTTAAGGCCGGGAACACATAGTGAGAGGTGAAGCCACCTGGTTTTGAAAGCACCTGATGTACGCAGAGATTGAGACCTGGTCCACATGAAGACGGGTGTTTCTGGAAACTGAACTTTTTTTGTGAGTAATATCGTAACTTCAGTTTTCACGTGCCGGTCTGTGTTTGCACATGCATCAAGTCAGCGGGTCGTGTGTCTGTTTGGTTCTCGGGTTAGTTGCATGTTTTTCAGATGCGGTGCAAAAGCTCCTCCCACTTTCTCAGCTCTGCCGTTTATTCCTCCAGGTGATAACGTGAATCTGGTCGAGTGGCTTCTGGTCGGTCGTGCGTTGTGGAGGAAACCCTCCGACAGCGTGAGCCGACAATCCACCACAACGTTTCTCCTCCACTCAGTGTTTGTCAGGCCTTAGAGCGCGCTCATTAAAATGGGACTGAAGCAAGGGCAGATTATCACAGCAGCAGCAGCACTCCTCTTACCCACTCTTATGCAACATTCATCTTTCATTTTCCAGGACAGTGAAACACAGTGATGTGGTCAGAATACTGTTCAGAATCAGAATAACCATTTCCCACGTTTTTTTCTCTCTTTATACCGCCTGTAGTTTCGTATTTAAATGAGAAGTGTAAAGTAAATTTACTCACTGCAGGGACGGTGTGTGATGGAAATTGGGCCCGATATGTGGAAAGTGGGAACTCAAATAAGCAGCTTTAATGGATGAGGATAAGTACGGTATGAAAGTGCGCACAGTATTGCTTCTGGATGGCAGAGACACCGTGTTCTGTCCTGGTTTCTCACTCTAGTTTGTTCGTTTTAGTGTCTTCAACAGAGACGTGTCCGGTCCGAGGGAAGGAGAAAGCATCATCGTGCCGTCTGAGCGGATTAACGCAGGATTTAGCAGCGATGGAGAACCTGTCCCATCTGTGCTGATCCCGTCCCAGGTAGAAGAAATCGATTAATGTGAGGAGGTGAGAAAGTCCCAGAGGATAGAAGACTTAGAGCCTCGGCTGCACAAACAGCAGCGTTCAGGACAGAGGAAAAAGTCTGTAGTTTTTTGGGTGTTGGCGAAGTCAAGTCGAAGTCCGAAACTCTGTAGTCCCTGTAGTTCTTCTTCTACTCAGACGATTACTGGGCTTTTATTGGGTCGATGAGAAGTTTAACTTTGATTTTAAATTCTAAGTTTCAAGTTCCCAGTTTAGAGGAAAGACTCTTCTGAGCATGAATTCATGTCAACACTGATTTTTTCAGGTCAAAAGGACCAAAGTCGAAGTCCAGTCCTAAGACACCAAATTAAAAGTTTCAGTGAACGCAGTAACACATCTCTTTTATCACCTCTTTTCCTCTTAATAACCTTTTTCTTTCTGTCTTTTTCCATGCGAGTGTTTGGCTTGTTGCTCCAGAAAAAATCTCAACTTCTGAAATATGAAAAATAACTGCAAACAAACGGTGTCTGGCCAAGAAGACTGTCAACTTTGATCACAGTTCAACGTTTAGATCATCACAATCTCTAAATGAAACGAAAATACGATTTTTGAACAAAGAAAACTAAAAATATACCCAAGAAAATAATGAAAAAAACAAACAAAAAAAACACATTACTAAGTTAAGAGTTACACCCAAACTCAGGTTTCTGTTTCCTTCGTCGTACTTCTTTGTCTCCAAGTTCCCTGAAGGCCTCACCGAACGCTCTCAGTGTGGCGTCGTTTATTTCCCGTCTTCTTCTCATGCAGACTAAACGATTCGTTCTTTTCCCTGTAGTAGTTTTAAGTGTCGTCTTTCTCTTTGTCTCATTTCACTTTCCTGTTAAGGTCACGTTCATCCCTCCCTCTCTTAAGTCCCAGAGGTTAAAATAAGCCCCGCCCCTCAGTGTGTCATCTCAGCAGTGAAACTTGAAGATGATCAGGACGATCCTCTTGTACTCCTTCCTGAAGTTGTGGTTCAGGACGCCGTAGACGACAGCGTTGAGGCAGCTGTTGAAGTAGGCCATGAAGTAGCTGGCTGTGAAAAGCCACTCGGGGATCGCTCGGCTGAGCCTGGAGTCCAGCGCCACCGCCAGACCGATGAAGTTCAGCGGCGCCCAGCAGACAGCGAAGAGCACGAACACCACAAACATGGTGAGGAAGTTGCGGAGATCGTGCGGCTTGATCTTTGGCCGGGAGTCCGGCTTGACCCTCCGCCTCACCTGGATGACGAGGATCCAGATGCGCAGGTAGCAGTAGGTTACGATGCCGATCGGCAGGATGAAGTGCACCACCACGACTGTGATGGTGTAGAGCGAGCTCACCGACTGGGCGAAAGTGCAGGAGTACACCCGGGGGTCATACTGCAGGGACTCCACGAACCAGTTGGGTACGATTGCGAGGATGGTGAGCGTCCAGACCAGGACGACGTAGCACATGGTGTTGCTGTTGGAGAAGAGTTTGTCGTACTTAAGGCTGTGGCAGATGTAGCAGTAGCGGTTGATGGCGATGCCGGTGATGTTGAAGATGGAGCCGATGACGCTGAGGCCCATGAGGAAGCCGCTGATCTGACAGTGGATGTAACCGGCGATCCAGCCGTCGTGGAAGATGGCGGTCAGCACCAGGGGGTACGGATAGAGGGCGACGACCAGGTCTGCAAGAGCCAAACTCACCACGAAGGCGTTCCCTAGAGACATGAAGGGAGGAAGGGGTCATGAGTGGGTCGCACATCAAAACCACAGACCACATTTAAGGTGAGTTAAAGCACGATAATTAAAACTTATCCGTGCATCGCCAATATCGGGATATCGTGACATGCTCCTGGTCAGGCCTAAGCCGATGGCGGGTTTCATATTTAGATCATCAGCCATCTAACCTCCCGGAACCAATCGCAGTCTAAACCTTGACCCATGGGTGATCCTAAATGTTCTTTCTCTAGCTGCGTCACCCCGCTGCCGTCCATAATGGACCGGCCCGAGGTCTCGCTACAAACAAGCAGCTGCCGGAAGAGAGTAGGTGAGTTGTGTTTAGTCTCTTTGCTGAAGAAATGAGTCAAAGTTAAAAAGATGTTTGGTGTCTAGTACTATGTCTGTGACCCTATATGTCCTGTTGATGAAGTTAGGTGCTGTTCTGAGCATTATTTGTGGCTATAGAGTGGCGTTTTGGTTGAGGTTTGTTTATGGCTCCTCAGACCGCTGTGTATTGCTATCGTGCGGTCGTTACTAAAGTTGGTATAACTAGAGAAGCAAGCGGTCGGCAACATTAATCTCTGGAGGGGGGTCTAACTCTGTGTTACGGTGTGTTTGACCCTAAATTAATTTTACACCAGAATATCCCTTTAATGTCATTTTGACGTGTTTTTGTCCTTTTTTTTATTGTTGTTGTTGGAAAAATCCCGACTACAAAAACGCTGAAGGCAAAATATTACTTTTACTGACGTATTTCTGGGGGGAATCTCCGACATCGTAAACTCTTAACAAAGGATAGAAACCAGGTCATGTTGGAGAGGCAGTAAACAGAGAAGTGCAGTGACCTTTTACACCTTAATTGGAGATTTATGATGTTGCTAAGATGGACTTCTTTGGTGGACTTCTTTTAGTCTCTTAATCCCAGAGCTCTGCTTTTAATCAGATTAGATGTTTAATGCATGTACACACATTTTTAATTCGACATCCGTAGACAAGTGGAATCCCTGATTATCAGGAAAACGGCACAGCTGCTGTCCCTCGGTTCATTTGAGCTCATTACTGGTCATGTTGGTGTTTTAAACACAGGAAAGGCAAATGAACTTAATGAGCTGAAACGTGTCTTTCGGGTAAACGCTCCACATTGACTAATATTAATCACCGTCGGCTCCTTTTTGAACCACCTGAGTTTGATTTTCTTGCACTATAGGGATGATTATAAATATAGGTTTGATGGATTTTCTTGATGAGTTTCTTCCAGCTGGTGTTTACAGTTTGTAAGGGTGATAAGAAGTCGAACCTGCGAAAGCTTGAAAATTTGCTTTAATTTCAAAGATACGCACAAATGAGACCTGGATGATGTCAGTTTGATGACGGGAGGATGTCTTAAGGTGACGCCGGATGAATCCATTGACAGAAAATCATCTCTACTCAGGTTATTTGAGGGGAAAAAACAGTCTTTTTGATATTTAATGTCATTATTTACTGAATAAACTTTTTGCATCTAGAAATAAAGAAAAAACAGAGTTAGACCTTGGGAACCTTTTCTTGTCTAAATATTGAATCAGTCGGCCATAAAGGTAATCGTAAATGAAGGAGATGAAAAGCATACACTTTTTCATGTAATCATACAAAATCACTGATAAATAAGATGATACTGTCAGTAGTTAGCGAGACAAAACATGTCAGATTTGGAGTCGAACATAGAGCGGGAGATTTTCCTTGAGAGACGGATGATTTGTTGCCGACAAATCTGAAAACAACAGGACAAAAAGAAAAGAAGTCAGAGCTGTCAGAGAAACAAGAGCCGAATGGAGCTGAACACAAACAAAAGAAAACTCAGGAACAGGAAGCTCTGAAAGGCTCAGAACAAGACGTTTCTGACAGACAGCAACAAACCAAAAACAGTTTCAGAGGAAGTCCATAAAGCCCGGCCACATTCCCCCACTTCACTCTGATCACATCTGGATCATTAAGCTCTGCAAACGTCTCTTATGCTGCTTAAATGCCTCCACCACCATCATCATAATAATAAGCTAATGATTATGACCGTCCCGTAGCTAAAACACTTCTCAAAAGTTCCTAATCATGATGGACTGTTGTTGATTCTGAGGACAATGTTAATGTTGGTTTGTATCCCGTCAACAGAGGCGTTGGCGTCCCCCTTTTGTTCCTCTTTGTTCGGCCAAACTCGGCGTGATAAAAGCCCCCGCCCCGCTGATGTGCCGTAAAGGTCTCCCACATGGAGAAATGAAGTTTGAGCGCCTGATTTAGGAGTCTAACATTTACCTGCCGCCCCGGGTGAACTGTGCTGCATTTCAATTATAATCCTCAGTGTTTAAACCGCTGCACATCAGCTCGCGTCAAGAAACCGTCTCCTGTGAAACAGTCAGGTTTCTATCTGAGGTGAAGTGATGCTTCGCAAAAACCAGCCCAGATCGAGCTGCTTTTGGTCCAAATTTTACCTCTTTCTTTGAAAATCTCTTTTCATTCCCACTGATGTCAACAAGAGAAGAGGTTTTGGCTCGATAACTTCAGAAACAACATTGAAATATCTGATAATAGTAACAACAATGATAATGTTTTTTCTCTCTTTTAAAGCATTTAAATGAAAACCTTCACAGCAGATGTGAAAATCAGATCTCTGGAACTTCAAGTGAAGCTGCCGCTGGTTTGAAATCCTCCAGTGACTTGATTTGTTTAGCAGGAAGCTCTTATCAGATTGCATACATTTCCACGCAGCCAGAGGGGAGCGCAGTCATTAACTCTGGCGGCGTTAATAACGCTTCACCATACCTGCTTAGCAATACGCCTCCATTTAGCATTTATCCCTCTCCGATCCATCTTCATTACGAGGAACCTGGATGGTTATTACTCGGGACGATGACTCTTTGTCACTGGAGGATACTCAGAGAGGAGCTGTGGCTCAGAGCACAGAGGCAGGGGACTTGTTAACCACCAGCCAATTCGTATCAGTCCCTGGTTCTGTCTTTATTACTCACATTTGCCCTTTGAAACTCTCCTCAGTGATATACCTCCACTCCTCTAAAATGAGGATATATGTTAGGAAGTGAGGGGCCGAGGGTTTATATCTATGTAAGGGTCAGAGCGTGAGGGAAATGCTCGGTGGAGATTTTTGCAATTGAAGTCACTTTTAAAGACGGCGGTGAGTTTTTTTATGGCCGCACACCGGGTTAATAATCTGACCTATCACTTGTCTTGCTGCTCCTAATTGGTGCCCCTTTCAGAGAGCTTATCCTTCTCGATACAACGACCATGAAACCAGATTATAGAGCGGGTCATAAATTTTTTACCTGCGAAATTCAATTTTGTTCAGCATTCTGCTGAGGCAGCAATCCTCTTAGAGGCTTTATCAGCTGTTTTTACATTTTAGAGGTTGATCGTATGTCGGAAAGAAAACCTCGACATGAGAGGCAGTTCCCATCACGATGTGCACTCGTACAAACAGGAAGTAATGCACCAGGACTAAAGAAACGTTCATGAATTTGGATCCAATTCAGACCCAGATGCTTCATGAACTGGTTAGCCCCAATTTCCACCGCATCCAGAACGGCTAAAAAAGACCTCATTCGCTGATAACAGCTGATCGTAACCATTCACGTTATTGTATCACTTTCAACCAACTTCTTTCCGTTCCTCTGCGGATCGCTGGACTCTGCAGCTGATCGCAAGAGTTCTATTTTTTATGGACGCCGGAGCGTGCCGGTTAAATTCGGCACAGATTAACCCGTGCTGGAAAGGAAGTCGGGCACAGACACAAAATAAAACATCCGGCTTCTTTTCAAAATAAAACACTCCGTGATCCAGGTGGATCGTATTTCACACCATGAAAACGGGCGGAGACGAACAAGTGAAAGGTTTTTAGACGTCATTTCCAAAACGACCTTTATACACATGTTCTCTACTCTTCTTCAGTCTTTTGTTCATTTCCTGTGCAGCGTCACAGCACCACCTACCCACTTGGCATGTGCACTACATTGTTTTCAGCGGTTTCGTTTTGAAAGATGATAGAAAAACTTTATGATTGAAATGAAGTTTGTTGAAGTTGTCACTGAATAAAAAATCGAAATGGAAAATCAAGTTTTCAGAGAAAAAAAAAATCTGGAATTTATTTTTGTCCATCAAGCAAGAATGGAAAGACTTCCACCTCTGAAGCTTCAACACTCAGTGTCTCGCAGTTCTCAAGCATCCAAACTTCTTTAAAGCGAGGTTCTTTGTTTGTTGATTCGACCGCTTTGGTTAAGTTTCAGCTCAGTGAGGATGAGTGGGTCATGGCGGTCTGGAGTCATTGTGGTCGTGTCAAACGGTCAGACAGACAGATGGTCAACAAGAAGTATTCAGATCCTGCGGCTAACAGACTTGTCGGCTGATGCTCTCTGTCTTCTTCGAAGGACAGTCGCTTTAAAGATCGAGGGGATCAGAAAACATCGAAGCTTCATGTGGAAGAAAATACGCTGATACTTTCAGACTTTTCAGCTCTGCAAAGTCAGACAACAAGAGTTATTAACGCTCCAGCATGATAAATTAAACAAGAGCAGTTATGCTGATTAGCCTCTTCATTAACACGGATGATGTGCAGAGATTTATATCAGAGCGATGTGATCTTTGCCTCCTCAGTGCTCCGAGAACTCAAAGTAGTTTCAAAGACATCAGGCTTTGGCGAATTGAGATGCTAATTTATGCTGCGAGTCACTCCACTATCTAATCAGATGATCTGTTCTGGAGACGGATCAGCGCCGTGAACTTTCAAAAGTTCCTCCGGTGGGGTGTTTCTCTGGAGTTACTGTAGCAGCATGTCCCACAAACACAGACAGATGTCAGCATGAAGAAACATCTGAAGTGAGATCCTGCTTGTTTTGGTTTGTGTGTTTCGTTTGTGTCTCTCAGTGTGGGTGTGTGAGTGCGTGTTCAGCTCTGTGTGATCCCGACAGAAGCTCCGACTGCCGCCGTTTGTATCTTGTTCAAATGCGACAGCAAACACTGCTGTCACACACAGAGACACAAAGAAATCCAGTTCCTGTCTGGAGGAGAAAATAGACGCTTTTCTGTCTGACTCACCCGCTGCTGACATTTCTGGATCATACCAGAATATTGTCATGACGAAGGATTTTCAGCTCACAGAACTTTTAGAGGCTCGGCGTCAGAGACGGAGCTCGAATCTGACAGTCGGTGAGTTCAGATTAAAGCTCCTGTGAGGAGTTTTTCCACCTCTATGAAAAAGAAACTGAAAAACAAACACGACCATCAGTGACAAGACTGATGGGTTTTCAATGTGAGTATTTGGCGGTCAAAATTCAGGTGAATGAGATGTCTATTGAAGCTTGTTAAAGGCTGCTTTGTCCACAGGGGGCGCCAAAATTGACACAAACCAAAGTTTGTCACAGGAGCTTTAACCAGAAGAAAGATTTACAACCAAAAATCTGTTTTAATTTTCTTCTTTTATTTGATTCTTGGCATTTAATTTAACCAACTCACACTTTTTTTGCGATAATGTTTTATAATCCGATTCTCTATGACGAAGATGAGGTGATGATGATGTTGAGAAGAGAAGGTTTCGGTTGATTTTAACTTTTCTTGTTCACTCTGCGTCTCACCTTCATGCATTTCACTTATTTTGACTCAAACTTTTCCTGATGGGAGTCATTGACAGAGACTTAACCGGTTACCAAGGCAACGCTAGTTTAACAAGACCAAGACCAACCGTCTCCACACACTGAGTGCGAGTAAAATCATTCACGCGAATGACGCTCCTACTACTCTGGCGGCGCGAATTACACAAATTGGGCGGGAACTGAAAATGTCTCAACTTGAGCGGATATTCGCATCACGATAACCAATCAGCACGAAGGTTGCCGAGTGACGTACGAAAACGGACGGTTGTGGGCGCCCCTAATTATATGATACCTTTTCTTTCAATTACTGAAACCGGAATAAAAGGAACTCGTCTGAAGGTGAGTGTGTGAGGAGGTTGGATTACCCAGTAAACTGTAAAAAACATTTGTCTATCACGTGATCCGGCTGGTTGAATTGGCAGGGATTACTGCTGAAATTACCTTAAATACTATCATACATGCTTCTAGATTAGTGCGAATTACGCGAGCAGATAATTTGACTCATGCTTGGTGTGAGCGCCCCCGTAAGACTAAACCTGGAATAGCACTGGAGAGAGAGAAAGGACTGAACATGAAATGGATATCCTCTCAGTCAAGAGCAAAATATCCCAAATCTGAGTCGAGTTTCTGCCTCTTGGTGAGTACAGGTCTTAGATTCACTCTCCATTTGCCCTAATTTCAGTCTTTACCCCTGAGGGAAACATATCTAGCTGCTGAATGCTCAGTTAAGTTCACCATCTGTACTGCTTTTTGTCTTTTACTCTGACTGCAGTTGAGAAGGTACTAAAGAGCTGATTTATAGAGTTTTTGTTGTTCTTCCTAAATCAGCTCCATGTCCGGGCCCAACCACGTGGACAAAAGGGTGAATTTGCATCCTAATTGACGGACTGAATCTGGTCAACCACAGAAACCACCTGTTTATATACGACCTGGTCAAAGCTTAATGCTCCTGCAGAACCTCTGAGCTGCAGCTGGAGCAGGTAAACACTGAACTTTTCCGACGTCTGATCGATGAAGGACTTCAGTAATTAGAGAAAGGATTGTTAGTGCTGGTGCAGAAAATTGAGGCTAATGAGAGAGCTGCAGGTAAACCAGGGGGGCTAATAGGTCTTTGTTTCTTATCGGTGTTTCAAGAGATACTCAAGGGAAAAAATCTATATTTTCGAGTACTGAACTGAGGAAAACATGGAGCAAAGGAAGAAGAGGTCTTCATCAGGACAGAGTGACCAAAACTGACTCATTTAAAGCGGCTGAAATGATGACGTTTGAAAGCAATGCAACACAGTCAGCAGTGTAAACACTCAGATTATAAACTCCTTTAAATACAGAACGACTTCTCCATGAAAGTTCTCCAAACTTTGAGCAGCTGCTCTCCTGTAGAGGAGAGTGTATGACGCTGAAATTACAGGTGTGAGAAGTTGTACGGCTGCATTTTGGATGCCCTCGTTTCTTCTCCAAGAAAGAAACAAACGCTGCAGATAAATTCGTACAAACAAATTTATTTTCAGAGTCTGGATCTGAAGGTTTGGGGTTAAAGATGAGCCGCGTTGTTGTATCTTAAAGGCCTCAGGCAGCAGCCGGGCGCTCTCACCGGCCCTGAAAATACAAACAGACATAAATTATACGAGATGATGAAGCGTCTGAGCGGTTAAAGGAAATGAGACGGAATTAATCAGGAGGCTGCGGCTGCTCACCGGACTGTCTGAGACCTGGAGCAGGTGAGCTGCAGCAGGACGAGGCGGTGGAGATCAGGTCGAGCTCAACAGACTTCAGACGTGTGGGAGAAGGAGGCTGGGACTTCATGTTGTGGGCTGTTACAGAGCTTGGACCGTCACTGTAAATCCCATGTTGGCTGGTTGTAAAGCTGTTTGTAAAACTGTTTTTAAAGCTGTTTGTAAAGCCTGCTGCAGTAAGAACTCTTCTTCTTTTCGCTCTCGTGGATCAGTGAAGTATTAAATTGTCCCACTGGCTCTGATGGTGTTCCTCTCTTTCATTATCTCCTCCATTGTTGCCATGATTGTTGTCTTTGTCTGACCCTCCTGACCTTTTTTTTTAGTCAGAAGAATGTTTTAATCCTAACAGCGCCCTCTGGTGGTCATCGTGCTTCACGTTTGTCCCACGTCTGATTAAAACTGCATTTAATTACGCTAGTATATATCCCAGTTTAGGCTGATAGTCAGGGTGTCAAAGAAGACCTTCTTGTCTTTCATTCAAGCCCAACTGTAAATCATCCTGACAATTTAAAAGCTAACTCGGCTAACTCAAAAACTGACTAACACACATTTTTATTTTTTTTATCCAGTTTTTACCACAATTATATATTTCCTTTCACAGAAATATCAGCCACGGTCCTCTTTTCAATAAGGATCACAAAGTTTTTCCACCATCAGTGGTATTAAAATAAAGAGAGAGATTTGACAGTTTTTCAGTTTTCACAAGCATGAAAATCTGAATTTTGGACACAGTCCTGAAATTTCAACGCTCGGGTCTCAACAGCATGACTTCAAACAAGCTGAACTCTGAGCACAAGTCCATCAGTGTCACTTCAATACTATCTAAAAATCCCTGTTTTTATAAATCTCTAAACTAAACTTAAAGCACACTTTTGCACGCTTTGTAGCACCGGCCTTTAGAATGCAGCTCGGCTCACTCATGTCCCGCCTGTACTAACTTGTAGAGAACCTGATGTGGATGAGGTCCTCTTGGGTGACTCTGATCAGGATCGGAGCGCAGTGATTCTGTCAGCTACTGAACACTTAGACTGTGCAGCGTAGACTGTAAAAGGGCGATCACAGGGTTTGCAGTGATGCCTTAGGAACCAGCAGCAGTCCTATAAAAAGTCTGTCTCAATTATGAGTTTATTCCCTGGCAGTAAAACACAGAATAAACCTTTATTTTAGTCTCCCTGACTCTCTTTGTCTCTGTTTTCCAGAGAACCAGCAGGGATCAGGACCTGCTCTCAGACCTGCTCCGTCTAATTAGATCCTTCTGTAAATCTGGACTCAACACACACAATGACTGTTCAGAAATATAAAACAGCCACTCAGAAAGTCATCTTGATGGATGAGTCTCTTTAATCCTCTCCATGACATAATCCTCCAACAGTGCCAAATCAGCCATTACGCACCGACTCCATTTATAACATCAGTCAAAGGTTACACGGCATTAATACGGCCGAGCGTTTACTCAACAAGTCAATTCATCCTTTCAAACATTTATGAGACAGGGACATAATTCAACAACTCAAAACCTGCAGCCTTGCATTTTCTCTGTCACTCAACCCGTAGTTTTTAAATAATGGACATCAAACTCAGAAACTCAGAAAGTCTGGATCCTTGAGGCCGCATGGATCTGCCTTTCCATTCAGGAACCAGACTAAAACGGTTTCGGTCCAGAGAAGTCCAAGAGCCATTTTTTTCCACTAGTACTCTGTCTCTCAATTTTTGCTGCATCCGGAACGGCTCCGATGTGGAACGGTGGCAGTTTTCACCGTCCGCCACTTCCTACCGGATCTCTTTGTGAGGAGAATTTCGTGGCGGATTACAGACAGTAGGAATCAAGAGAACTCACAAGAACCCGCGGATTCACGTGCAATCGCGCGATAACAAGTTGTCTATAAAGACAGCCACATAGGCTAACCATATAAGCAGTAGATTGTGTCCTTTCAGAGGAGGAAATCCACTTCTAGACTTCTAGAATCAGCATCTCCTCATCCACGGTGTCAACGCGTAAAATGACGTCTATGAACCTTTCACTTGTTCGTCCCCGCCCGTTTGCGTGGTGTGGCCGGATGTTTTATTTTGTGTCTGTGCCCGACTTCCTTTCCAGCACGGGTTAATCTGTGCTGAATTTATTTGGCATGCTGCAGGGAAAAACGGAACTCTTGCGATCAGCTGCGGAGTCCGGTGATCCGCAGCGGAATGGAAAGAAGCCGGTGGAAATTGACACGTTAACTCTAAAGGTTACGATCAGCTGCGATCGGCGAATGAGGCCTTTTCGTCACCATTCCAGATGCGGTTGAAATTGGGGGTTAGACAGTGTTCAACAGAATAAAAAATTTACCAAATAAAACTCTCAAATGCTGACTCTCCTTTAAAGGTGCGGTACGTGTTTTTTTATCTGCATCTAGCAAAAAAATCAGAGAACGTCAAAGCTCCTGTTGACATTGGATCATTTGCTCGTGCTCGGTAATCATGAAAGAAGCCCAGAGATGATTAGGTCCTCATTAAACATGGAGGCGCTCATCAGTGAAACCACGTCGTACATCCACACGTTCATCCTTCATCCATCCTTCATCCATCTCTGCTTTAAAAGCTGAACCTGCTGTCCCTCTCTGTATTTATGAAGGTGTGCTATCTAAAAACCCAGAGGGAGGTTTCTAAAAGTATTTCTGTCCCTGCCGGACAGCTGTGACCTTGCTCGGACGGTGCAGTCACTGAATGTTGGATCTGTCAGGTAGATGGTCATTGAAAGCCCTTCAGATGGATCAGACTAAACTCCGATTCATGAATGAACTCTTTCTTTCAGTGCGATGATGCTTCTTATTGTAGGTCTTTAAAACTTTTGTAATCCTCTGAAGCTGAATATGATGATCTCTTCACAAACTGTTCCTTTAGTTTGTTTTGGATGTCTAAACCTTCATTTCAAGAGTTTAGATAAATCCAGTTCTTTGAGAGATAATCCAACATTATAACCCCCCGTAAACTTTTATAGCTTCTGAATGTATATCTGTTAATGAATGTTCATAATGGGGTCATCACATCGTTTCAAACTGCGTCACCTTCTGCAGAGAGCTCACGCATTTACATAATAAGTCCCATTAGTTTGGAGCTTCAGGGCTTGTTGAGACCCATCAGAGTTCCTGGGAGTGAAGTCTGCTGCGCCGTGAGATGAGGAGATGGAAATGAAGGTCAGAGAAGCACTGTGGGCTCTGTCTTTGCAGAAAATCCCCCCAGTGTGTGGTATTTCTCTGTTAGACCCCCCTCTCTTTCCTGCTGGTTTCCAGCTGTCAGACCGGTTGGTTCAGGATTGAAGAAACACCCGGAGAACCGCCATCTGCTCATCTTGATGGAACCATCCGTCGACTTAGAAGCAACCAAACTCCATCTGTGAGGGACGGCTGTTATTTATTTATCACCTATAGATATTACCGACTTCAAGATTGATTTTTAAAGAAGTTCACCTCTGACGTTTTTTAAGGGAGCTCGACATTCTTACTGTTCGAAGGTTTTTGAAGCGTTATCCAGTCAAGTTACAAAGTGGATCCTGCTGCATTTCGGTGTGAAAAGGTTCAACTTCACAGGAGAAATTAGCAGGTTTACAGACAGTTTGAAGGTAAATCATGTCTGTAAACTTATGACAAACTATAACTCGATATAAACATGTTAACACTAAATGCATAGAGATGACCTTTGTCTTTTTTCTTGTCTTTCATTGCTTGTTGTTCTTGTTTATCTTGAATGCCACCAGTTTGTCATGTGTTGCACCGATTTATGACGTCATTTGATTGATATGTTAGCCCCAGTTTTTTCTCCGATCTTCTTCCAAACACAATTTGAGACTATGTTTACATGCGCCCAGCTATTTTCATAAACAGACATTTCACCTTCTCTGTTTACACAAAAAAAGCTGCGTTCACACCACTACGTATTCAGAAAAGTTTTCGTTTACACTAACCCGTGTATATACGCCGTCAAGAGCATGCCTAATCTGTAGGTGGCAGTGTAGCATAAAGCTCAAGCCCACGTTGGCCAATGAGAATCCTGCATAGCAGCAACAACAACAACAACGTCACTACCTTCTTTTGGAAAAGATGCAAATGCAAACAAATACAGAGGGATTGCACCAGAATAAATGCGACTTCTATTCTACATGCATCCATGATCACTGTAGATTGTAAACAACGTCGCATTTAACCCAGTTTTCAGCGCACAATCCGCCATCAGCTACTTAAATCTCACTTTTCATGCAAACATGCGATTTCCAAAATCTCCACTCTGGTCGGAGTTTTTAAAAAGCGTCGTTTTCAGAGGCGAATTCTCCGTTTGCATCTAAACGAAGGTGTGCAAACGATGGTTAATGTCTTTGTTTTTAAAAATAACCGGGTACGTATAAACGGGGCCTGAGTCTCACTCTGCAGGAAACATGTTTTTTCTTAGTGCAAAATAGCTGCTTTTAATGGATATGATATATGATTTAAAGATGGGATAGCTGAACTAGTAAGCAGACAAAGCGAACTTGCAGATTCACTTGATGAGCCAGAACAGATGTTTGACTCTTTTTTTTCCACGTCCGGGAAAAATGAACAAAGTTTCCTGAGAAGTTTAAAAACTTTTTCGTCAAAAGAGATTTACAATCACTGTGAGAAGTCTGAGGCGGACACCTCTTCCTCCTGCAGTTACCACCAACCGTCTGACGATGCTATTAGCTCTCACTCCAAATGCGTTTGGCCATTAGGCTCATTTGCATAGAAGAGAGGAGCTAAAGTGTATCAGTGTGACCCGCTAACAGCACCGCGGCGCTGAGATGCAGCTTACTTCAGGGCACATTAGGTGTACGCTTCAGTCTGAGCAGGTGATTTGAGAAGTTTGATGTTCTTTAATGTTCCTTTAAGCAGGTGTAAACGCTGCAAAAGCTGCACTGAACTTCTGTGGATTCATCACTTTCAAACAGCCGAAGCACAGACTGTGACTCATGAGGATCGGACACAGAATAATCAGCAGTGAATGAAGCATCGATGGACTAAAAAATCCAAGTTCATGAACAGATCTGGGTGACATTTAGAGTTCATCGCTGGTCTCTTCTGCTGTGGATTAATCTGTCCAGGTGGGACTCAGTAAAGGTTGAAAATCACTGATCTACCCGCCTCTGGATCAATAAAAAACTGTCCGACTCGTTCAGGCATCTGAATGATTGATTTTTAGCTTTCACGCTGAGTTTTTCTGCAGATTAAGAAGCAACAAAGACTCTGATCCGGATAATTAGGCCGGTCAGCCAGCTAGGAAGTGTCAACTCCACTGAGAGCCGAGTGCGGCTGTCAGACGAGTCAAAACATGTCGCTGCGCTGATGGAATAATTAACTTGTTTAAACCCAAACCAGTAATCTTCCAACCATGTCATTCACACGCTTATGTTTTCAGTGGTATACATAAATACTGCACATCCATAACAGCTTCTGTAAACTCTTCTTGACTTATAAGTGATACGCTCCAATATTTCTTACCTAACTAACCCTATTTTCCAAGGTTGGCTGTAAAACATCTCACATAGCGTTGATTTTTGACTCTTGTCTTCACTTTGGTGATTAACTTTGTAATGAGTTCAAAGTTCACGGTAAAGCCATCTGATACAGAGTCCGGGTCATCCTGATTGGACGGAAGAGCCTGATGTCACATTTAGAGAACCCAGAAAACATCTCCATGGAGAGAGGCTGGCAGCAGACCTCCACAGAGCGGAGCGATTACACGGGGCAGTACGTATTTTTTGTTTCATGTGAATATAATTTTTTTCTCTGATGTTTATAATGTTGGTTTGATATTTTTGTTTTCAACAAAGACAAAATACAACATGGGATTCCCATTTCAAACAAACAGAAGCGTGTAAGAAAAAACGTCACCTCGGGTCGTCTCAATGGAGGTCTGCAGCTTCAACGTGTGTGTGTGTCTGATTGTCTTGAAGCTTCGGCAAGGTTTAGTTTAGACATCCAACAGTTAGAGCAGCACGATTAACCGATTTTATATCATAATCAGATTATTTGATTATGACGATGTTAAAATAATTAAAATCCTCAAATCGATTTTCCTCTCAACAACACAACGTAACGTAAACAACGTAAATCTTTCATGGCGCCTTCGCGTGTTCGGCCAAAACAACATTTATACGTTTGCTTTGACTCTTCTTCTGTCTTTTGTTCATTTCCTGTGCAGCATTACAGCGCCACTCACTGGCTTGGCATATACACTACATCATTTTCAGTGGTTTTGTTTTGAGAGATGATAGAGAAACTTTTTCTTTTTAAAGTGAAGTTTGATGAAGTTGTCACTGAATAAAAAATAAAAATCAAAAATCGTATTTTCAGAGAAAAAAAAATCTGGATTTTATTTTTGACCAAAATCATTAAGCCACCAATCAACCAACACTGAAAAATGTGTGTAAGTCATGTATGAAAACACACATCAGATGCATTTCACCAGAGCAGTAAGTGTCGACAGCTGTTCCTGCTTTCCATGAACTGATATCCCACTTTAGTGACATCAGGCGTATTTCTCGCTGATCTACCGATGGCGGATTATGAATGAAGGTAATCCGTTTGGCGCAGATCTGGGGACGCTGACAAAATGAATCATGACAGGACTCTGCTGATGATCAGGTGATGTATCTCTGACAGGATGGAGGGGGAGGGGGAGATGGATGGATGTGGGGGACGACATTATAATGGCGAGCAGAGGAGAATAGTTTACAGGGCGAAGAGGAGAGGGGAAAATCTGAGAGAGCGAGCGGAACAGGAGAGGAGGGAAGAGAAAAGTAATTAAGAGGAGGGGGCGAGTGATTGAAAAGGCAGAAACGTGGAGGAAAGGTGAGGAGAGGGTTGTAGAGGAATGAATCAAACGAAAAGGACAAGAGCGGCAGGATCAGGGAGGGAGGCAGGATTGGAAAGGCGGGAGATGAATTGAGAAGATGCAGAAACCGGAGAAAAGGCTGGAAGGTTAGAAAAAAAAGAGATAAGAAAGGACAGGAAGGGGGATCAGATGAATGAGGAGGTGGCATGAGGAATAGATGAGAGCGGTGAACAATTCATCCAGTTTTCCTCCTCCGATCGTTACATTTTCACCGCCAGACTCCCAGGAAGCTGGAAACCTCCGGACTGATGGAAGCAGGTGGGAAACAAATGACCTGTCTGTTTTTGACTGATGCGTCCGGGACAGCCTTGACGAGCTGAAGGCGGTGACAGCGTACGGCTGTTTGTGTATTGATTTATCGCCATGCTAATTCGTCATCGGGACAGGCGTGGAGCTGCGGCGCGTGACTGGGAGGCTCAGGTGTCAGAAAATTATCTTAAAATGAGATAAAGAAAATGAAGCCGCGAACTTGCCAACTGCACCCTCCCATACCTGCTTCTTTATGACTGTTTTATTATTGATGGGTCTTTTAAACTCTTGCACAGATTTTCATGAAACTGCATGAAGTTGGAAACCATGAGGAGTCGTACAGATCAGACATCGTGTAAAACAGTGTTGTAGATTCAAGACCAGGACTCAGATCCTCTATTTAAACCATCACTGAAAGAAGAAGAAGAACTTTATTTTTCCCTGAAGGGTAATTCAGTTATTAGTTGAATTCAGTTCACACTATTTCCTCTTCTCCTGTCACTCTTCAGGTGTCAATTCGCTCTGAATGGTTGACAAGTTTGATAAACCGCCTCCATCCACAGCGTCCACTCACATGTCAGGTTGGGTGTCAAACAGATGAAGCTTCGTAAAAAGTCTGGGAATCTGGAAAAACACGAACACCACGTTAACTTCTCTTTCTAACCCGGCTCCTCTGCAGATCCCTCACACACTTTAATAAAACATGAGCCTGGTCTGAGTGCCGTTAGTCTCTTAAAGCCCCCTTTAAGCCCACATAGACGGTGTAAACTGCTGACTCAACCTAACTTTCACCTCCACCTCCATCACCTCAGCCTCTCCCTCAGTGAAGACAGCCGTGCTCCTAATCGTGACAAAATCAAAAGTAAACTGATCAAGTATTCAAACTTTAACACCTGTGCAGCATGTGCAGATAAAAAAAAAAACATGCTCCATTCAGACCCAATTTTTTATTTTATTAATTTTTAAAACTTTTTCAGCTTTTATTTGATGGGATAGTACGGTGGCCCTGAGGTACAAATCACAACAACAAAAGAGACTGCGGTCAAACCAGCGGACACTAAAATTAGCGTACCCGCGTATTCTAACCTTTACGGTAAATGCATTCAAACGATCCCAAACGAGTGAGCAGACACTATTAGGAGTTCTGCCTTTCAAAATAAGATGCTAGAAACAGTAAATGGAGAATTTCTGATATCCTAATGTTATGAAAATACACGTGACTGACCCATAATTTCAGGCAATATTAATGTACATGAGCAGAAGTCATCTCTGACTACACACACTCTAATTTTAATTTTAGTGTCCGCTGGTTTGACCGTCTCTTTTCCCTTGTGTTTTCTCTTATGTTGTGTGTTTTCTGATTTGCACCTCAGGGCCACCGTAGAACAGGGCAGAAAACAGGGGGAACAGGCAGGCTGGAGTAAACATTGACTCTTTCAAACAGGCATGTATTTACTGGAACTGTTGCAGCCTGTCCCAAGTGGACACCTAAGGAACTGCAGCTTTTTTACACCTCCACACTGGTTTCATTTCTCAAGACCAGAGACTGCCGCTTGGAAAGCTCTCTGTTTGATTCACACTGAGGGAAACTAAGGCACCGACGTGGGAGGGATGAAAGCGTATTACTGTCGAGCCTTTTAGAGACAGACGTCAGAGAGATGATCAGCAAACTCCCTTACAGCCTCTATTTGTCCCTAAAGTCTCTAATCTCCCCACTTTTTTGGCTCATGGCGGCACAGCGAGGCCACAAGCTTCCTCCCAGAAGAAGTCACTGTCCTCCTCCTCTTCCTCGGACAATGACGGATCATCACCAGCATCTGAATCACCGCTATCATCATGTCACTCTTTATGCTCGTCCCAGACTCAACCTACTCCTGTGTCGCCTTATAACCATCAAAACTTCCCTGTTAACTAACTCTTGCATGCTCTTCATGTTTAACCTGGAGGCAACAGTTGCCAGGCAACCAAACCAAAGATTCAACAACCACAGCAAAGTGTGCACCAAAGTAACACAACGACTTGTTTTCATTTTTGCGTTTTGTGCATTTTGTGTCAATGTAAAAAGATGTCTCTCCTCTTCGTCGTCGTCATTTTCTTCCGCTTATCCGGGTCCGGGTCGTGGGAGCAGCAGCTTCAGGAGGGGAGCCCAGACAGAAGGCCTTCACCCCAGCCACTTCCACAAGCTCCACCAGGGGGGATTCCCAGGCCAGGCGAGAGATTTGATCCCTCCACAAGGTCTTCCCCCCGGTGGGACATGTCTGGAACACCTCTAACGGGAGGCGTCCTGAAGGCGTCCTAACCAGATGCCTGAGCCACCTCAGCTGACTCCTCTCAACGTGGAGGAGCAGCGGTTCTACTCTGAGCGCCCCCCGACTGTCCGAGCTCCTTACCCTATCTCTAAGGCTGAGCCCGGACACCCTGCGAAGGAAACCCATTTCAGCCGCTTGTATCCACGATCTTGTTCTTTCGGTCATTACCCAAAGTTCATGACCATAGGTGAGGATCGGCAAGTAGATCAACCGGTAAATGGAGAGTCTCGCCTTACGGCTCAGCTCTTTCTACACCACGACTGATCGGTTAAGCGTCCGCATCACTGCTGACGCCGCTCCGAACCGCCTGTCGATCTCCCGCTCCATCCTACCCTCACTCATGAACAAGATCCTGAGATACTTGAACTCCTTCACTTGAGGCAGGACCTCCCCTCTGACCCGGAGAAGACAATCTACCTCTCCTGTTGTTCTTCATTATTAAGTTTGCTCTTTAGGTCTGCACCTGAATCAGAGCGGGAAACCCCAAAGGAGACCAGCAGCATGAGGTCTTCATGCAACAGTCAGGTGTTTAAGAGCACACCAGCCCTGAACGTGGAGCACCTGCTCTACCGACTGAGCCAAACCAGCGTGCCATCAACCTCCCCTCTTCAAGTTTAGATGTTTGAGCAGCTGTGAAAACATTGTTTACACCTTAAATCTTACCAACTAAAACCTGCTTCATGTCTTCAGGCTGATTTCTTTCTGCAGAGAGTTTGTTTTTAGTAGAAACAGTCAAACTTCACATACTCTGATTTCCTGCAGCAGTAGAATCACGACCACCAGGTAGTAAAAGCTTTAATGGGCTCGTCCTCTCCACTTTGTTACATACAGTAGGAGTAAAACCGTGAAAAAACACAAAAACGTCTGCTTAATTTTGAAAATACAACAATCCTTGTTGATGCAAGATCACATTTCATCGCCAGGTGAGCCGAACCTGGAAGACGATATTTTCAGAGCTCATCACAATCCTCTGACTCGGTATTTAAAGCGGGTCATCTTCAGTCTGTCTGGTCCTGCTGCTTCATGCTGCCTCTGGAGAGGTGAAACCACCACAGCAGAAAAACCTTCACAGCAGATCAAATATTCTACTTTTCTGCTCTTTTAAAAACACCCAAACATCCAAAAACACGACACCTGACATGATGACTGCTGAACTTTCTCCACAGCTTTGCACTGAAGTCAAACATCTGCTCTAAAACGATCAAATTTCATCACTCCGATGACTCAAAATCCTGCTTTCTGAACAGTTTCCAGCATCTGGTGACTGTTTTTTTCATTCCCCACCATCGCCTCTTCCCAGCACAACCTCCTGTTGATCTCAGGGTCCATTTACACAGAAAATGGGATAAGTGTTTCCACTTTGCAGCTGCTAATTCAGGCTTTTATGGAGGAGAAAACAGCCTCCATGCTGCTCGTTCTGCTGCAGCTGGTTTAGGATCCGACCCGCTGACCTCTGAACCTTCAGTCCAAACCGCGTCCTCTCGTCAACAGGTTTGACTGAAGGGTAGAGGGAGTGTGAGGGGTGATACTGTGAGAGGATTGATTTCCTCACCTGAACTATTAATATGAGAGCTTCTCAGGAAGTTATGACTGCAGGATTGCAGAGATGATGAGCGCCAAACAACTCATCAATATTCATAAATTGTTGTTTGAGAGCAAAGGAGCTTCCTGGCCTCTCTAAGTGCTTTTAATGTGATATCTGCTGCTTCAGATGGCTCTGCCGGAGCATGCTGCTGAGTGAAAGATAACAATTAGGAGCCTGATTGATTTTTTTCGTTTTTCTTCTGCAGTGTTATGTTTGAAGGATCCTAAGTGGACGGCTTATTTATGCACGACGGCGCTCCTGACAGCTTGTAGTCCTCAATCAGCTGTGGCTACTATCAGATTTACACATTGATTTACAGTGAGTCACCAACCATGCCTGAACTTCTTTGCTCTTCCAAAAGTCCTTGAAACAGAGACTGAAAAGTCAGAGCCAAAAGTCTGAGTGGAGTTTCTGTTCTTATTCACCGACAGGACCAAGCAAACCTCCCGTCCAAGAGTCCTGGAGTAAAACATCAGCAGAGATCTGTTCAGCATGAAGCCAAAGAGAAGAAGACCAAGATGGAGACAGAAGGATCACCTCACAAGAAGACAACTGACTATCTGTAACGTAGGGCTACACGATTTTCGCCAAAAATAAAAACACAATTCTTTTTTCTCTGAAATTCGATTTTCAATTTTTTACTGAGTCACAACTTCACCAAAAATAAAAAGTTTTTCTATCATCACTCAAAACAAAACCACTGAAAACAATGTAGTGCATATGCCAAGCCAGTAAGTGGCGCTGTAATGCTGCACAGTATATGAACAAAAGACAGAAGAAGAGTACAGAGCATGTGTATCAAGGTTGTTTTGGCGCCATAAAAGAGTTACTCTGTGTGTCACATGATCGTTTCCAGAGATGCAGATAGACATCCACACGGAGATGTACTCTGTACCGTCTGACCTGTTTTCAAAAGCTTCCGTTTACAATGACTAGAAACGCCGTTTTCATGTGGATGAAATGGCAATACGTCAAAAAACTTTTGCGTTTCCATGGTGACGGGTTAATACCACCTTCAGACAGACTTTGCAGTGGGGAGTGGGTTACTCTTCATCTGAAACTGTGAAGTCGTACCAATTCAACACGACTGACTCACTCTTGTCCAACTTAGCCACGAAATTATCGCCTTCTTTTGCAAACGCCATGTTTGTTTACACCGGTGTGTGTCGGAACTGGGGAGCGCTCCTGTAGGAAGGGGGAGGAGCCTACAGTGGCCTGGACGCACATGACATGATAGAGAGGAAAATCAATTTGAGGATTTTAATTATTTTGACATTGTGGTAATCAAATAATCCGATAACGATTTAAAATCAATTAATCGTACAGCCCTACTTTTAGTATTCAGGGATAAAGCTGCAGTCGTATTTCTTAGATTTGACTGACGTAGACTGCAAACAGGAAACTCTTTAGAAACTCTTGGTGACAGTGTTTTAGATTCACATTAAACTAATAGTATTGAAAATATGTTTGTTTTGTTGGTTTCCCATCACCTGTGCTTCACAAGCGTTACAAACAGCTGTTCTGACATTTTAAACACGTCTATACATCGAACTACAGAGGTCACAAGTTTTGAAACTTTGACACTTTTCGATACCAGGTGCTTAAAAAAACGATAAAAATCCAGAATCTTTTGATTTGATTCAACTGAAAACCACGATAACCTGTTAATAAAAGTGTGGGTCTTTAAAAAGTAAGTGTTACCAGAGAGAGTGAAAAGTAAAGAAATCGGAAAAAGCAGAAGAATGAGAAGTTACTTTGCGATTGTTTCCTACAAACTCATCCAAACCTCCTCATCAGTGCAGGAAGGTTCTGGATTTGCAGGTGAAGTGTCTCTCTGCTCCGCCCTCTGTCACAACCGACACACCACTAACTCTCCATACTTACGGGTCAAACAGAACTGAAGTTTGTCTGGTCCTATTCAACGAAAACATGTTGATGCTCAAAGCTGGTGTTGACATTGTGCACGTAAATAATATGTAGCCTTATCTGTGGTAAGTACCAGCACAAATCAAACTTTAAATAAGACTTAAATTAGATTGATTGACACCTGAGGTCGTCCTGATTGAAATGGTCTTTGGCACAACAACAAAACAAATGTGAGGGAGTCGGGAGCCCCCTAAAATTGGTCCATGTCTTAAAGGGTTAAAAAATCAGCTCATCTGATTTTCTCAATGAGAGCTTTTAAAGAGGCTCAGAGACATGAATCAAATTCTTATTCATAAAAAACGGAGAACTCACAAGTTCTTAGAACCGAACCGGTTTATAGAAGGTCAGTCATTTGCATCAAAGTGCAGTTTCCTTCACAGACAAGAAGATCGAGGTTCAGTTTGATTTCTGTCAATGACACCAACTCTGTAGTAGTATGAAACAGTTTGTACGCAAATGAAATAAAAGAAATACATTTTGATTCGTCATATGTCTCTTTTTTTGACTCTTTTTTTGTAATATTCCCTCAAAAAACACAAGATTAGTTCATTCTTTGGTGATAAAAATGAGTTCACGTCTGTTTCTTTCCTTTTTTATTTACTTTTAGTGTCACCAGAGTTTAAATGGCAGGAAAATGAACTAAATGTGAACTATTTGAATTGAAAGAGACATGTTTGCAAATGAAAACAAAACTCGAGGAAACCACTGCTCTAAATCGTGATCCCTTGACTTGTTTTGGAACTTTTGCTCGGATCCTCCCCGGGAAAACCCCCTACCTGCTTTCCTGAGTTTTCGGTTCCTGAACACGGACACGATGACCAGCAGGTTCCCGACAACATCCACCACGATGGTCGTGATCAGCACGCCGGCCAGCAGGGTCACCGCCCAGGGGAAGGAGTGGTGGTGCTGACCCGGAGCCCCCTCCTCCCCTGCCGGCGTGGAGTTCCGGGGTCCCAGCGTCCCCTCCACCATGGTGGGCTCATGGTCCTCCAGGGACATCAGTTGCGGGAGGTGCCTCGGGTCGACGAGTCGCATGGGGTCGTGGCGGCGGAAGGTGGGTCCATTCAGCATAATAACGCAGAGCTGACCGGGACGCGGGAGTCAGTCAGAGTTGGAGCGCTGATGGGGACTCGGTCCGGGTACCGGTGTCATGTTTAATGCTGGACCAGAACTATTCAGTGTGTTTCAAAGTTCAAATCAGCCACAGAAACTTCACAGGAAACAATGAAGAAGAGGAGGGAGTGTGACAGCATCTGGAGATCTGACCCATGATCATCTAAGGAACTGATCCAAACTTCACCTCAGAGCTCCGAGCTGAAGCGAGTCCACGGCGAGAGGGATCTAACACGGAGTGTGGATGAGGACACCCGGTAAAACGACGTGAATCCTCCACCCACTTTTCATCACGAAATAGCTCATCGGGAAAACGGGAATATTACGCAAATCTTAGCGTCGTCTTGTGGTTCTTAGATTGCCAGGTTGGACAGGTCCTGCAGCCCCCTCTGCACCCCTTCTTTCCACGTCCATGCAGCGGGGAGCCGTGCGCCTCGCCGCGCGTAATGGCACCGGAGAGAAGCGTTAAAGCGCAGCCCGGAGCATTTCAGTGGAAACGAGGCGGCTCTGTTTGTTATAAGTCCCTCAGTGTCGATGTGAAGGCTCACTTTTCAACGACGAGGATGAAAAAAAGATAAAACTAGAAAAAATAAAGAGATGGTTCAATGAGGAAAGGAAGAAATGCGACTAAAGTCTTCAAACAGAGACGGGAGGCTCCCTCTCAGTCTGTCGTCCTTCCATCATTAAATCTGAAGAAATAAAACAGATATTTTCAGATGAAGATTCTCAGGTTTTTTCCCTCTTCATGGTTTTTTGTGAATCGGTTCCTCTCGCGCCGCTGCTGCTGTTTCCTCTCAGATGTTTCATTCACAAATCCTCCTCGTTCTCCGGCTTCATTCACTCGCGCGCTCTGCGTCTCGGTCTGACCGGCTCACGTTCATTCAGATTCTCACGTGCGGGAAACAACTTGAGCTCTGAGCGTCTGTGAGGGGCTTCACGCGCCTTATAGCATCCAACCACCATGCGCGCACTCTCCTCTCCGCCTTCTCTCTCTCTCTCTCTCTCTCTCCCTCTCTCTCTCTCTCTCTCTCGGCTTTAGGTTTTGTGTAAATTTGAGTGTGTATGTGTAACGTTCCTGCACACACACACACACACACACACACACACACACACACACACACACACACACACTCCACTGGTGATGCACTCTTTCCACGTGCTATCCTTCCTCTCTTACATCTCCTTCCTTCCTTCCTCTCCTTAATTCCTCTTCTTCTTGCCTTCCTCTCCTTCCTCTTCTTTCTTCCTTCATTCCTCTCCTTCCTTCCTCTCTGTCCTCTTACCTTTCTTCCTCTCCTTCCTTCCTTCCTCGCCTTCATTCATCTCCTTCCTGCGATCCTCTCCTTCCTCCTCCTCTTCTTCCTTCATTCTTCTCCCTCTCCTTCCTTACTTTCCTTCCTCTCTCTCGTCCCTCTTCTTCTCTCTTCTGTCCTTCCTCGTCTTCCTCTCCTTCCTTTCTTCCTCCCTTCTTTGTTTTCCTCTCCTTCCTCTTCTCTCCTTCCTTCCTCTTCTATCTTCTTTTCTTTCTTTCCTCTCCTTCCTGCCTTCCTTCCCTTTCTTCTTTCCTCTCCCTCCTTCCATCCTCGTTCCTTACTTCCTCTCTTTCCTCTTCTTCCTCTCCTTTCTTCCTCCCTCTCCTTTCTTTCTTCCTTTCTCTCCTTTCTTCTGTCCTCTACTTCATTTCTTCCTCTCCCTCCTCTCTCTCCTCTCCCTGTCCTTCCTTCCTCTCCTTCTTTCCTTCCTCTCCCGTCTTCCTCTCCTTCCTCTCCTTCCTCCTTCCTTCCCCCCTTCCTTCCTTCATTCATTCATTTTCCGCGTGTTTATTTCCTCTCTATCTCTCTTCTCTTCATTTTTCTTCACTTATCCACCATCTCTCTCTTTTTTCTCCTTCTGCACACCAAATGCTTTCATTTGATCCACGATGACTCTCTCTCTCTCTCTCTCTCTCTCTCTCTCTCTCTCTCTCTCTCTCTCTCTCTCTCTCTCTCTCTCTCTCTCTCTCTCTCTCTCTCTCTCTCTCTCTCTCTCTCTCTCTCTCTCTCTCTCTCTCTCTCTCTCTCTCTCTCTCTCTCTCTCTCTCTCTCTCTCTCTCTCTCCCTCGCTCAGCTTCTTATCGCCTCTTCCAGATGATACCACACACGCCATCGCCTCCAGGGGTGCACGCGCCCGCCATCCATCCCAAAAGCATCAGCTGAGGCTCGATGGTTTGGCAGAAGTCCTCACTGTATTTTCATTTTTCATCCCAGCAGTGAACCTTCATTCACCTTTTACTTTAATCAATTTAAGGCAGCAGATCAGACTCCGAAGATCCTAAATGAGAGAAAAAGCAGAAGTAAAATCAAACCACTGAGTTCTACTTGAGGCAGCCGTGTAAGGTAACTCCTCGAGGACACATGTGAGTCTGCTGGATGTCAGTGAAGAGCAGATTAAACCTGAAAAGTCAAAGTTAGGATGAAACACACAGACTCAGCACAGCAAACACAGCTTGATTTATCAGAAATCTGATTTATCCTGACATCATTTTCGCTCATAAAGGTTCCTACGCCTCACTTCCCAGAACTCTGCGCTCTTCTCTGTGGGGGCGGCGTGAAGTATTTTTGAGAATTGACGTGATCTGAGTTTCTGAAAGTGGATCTAAGCCATCCCGACCCCGATTTACCTCATTTCCCATATTCTGTTTATTCTCAACGCACATAAATCTCACGGCATCATTTCCTGTCATGGAGGACAGGACAGATATTTGTAATATCAAATTTTCACGCCTCCATGAGCTTAATATGGTGTAGAAGAATCTCTATAGAAAATGTTGATACTCTGAAAAAATGACTTTTTTGTGCATATTGAAATTCAGCGTACATTAACGCTTCAGTTTGAGAATGGGTGAGTATTTCTAGTCTCTCTGGTTTCATGAAACAAAAGATAAAAGGTCCTGTCATAAGGATCAGTATTTTAAGACGTGTTTTAACAGAAGTTTAGGAAGAGTGTGCACAAGTTTTTACTCCAACACTGTCACTGAACACACAGAAATACAACACATGCTCCGTGTGCAGTATCGACGTTAATCTCCTCATGAACCGCCGTTATTTTTACAGACCATCGACACCTTAAAGGTGGTGTAGTCAGGATCTGAGTTATCTTGAATGTAAACTCTACCCCTCCCAACCAGTTTTCCCCTCAGCTCCTCCTCTCCCCTCAAGCCCCGCCCACAAACAGACGCTCCTGCTCGCTCGTATCGTCCCGATTAAATTCAGATATAATGCAGATACATTTTTAAAAATGCACGGAAAAGGTACAGAAAGTTGCACCAACAAGCAGGTTTGGGAAACACATGAGAATTCCCACCGTGACACACAGTTTTGCACCAATAATCAAACCCCAGTAACGTTTGTCTGCACTAAATACACCATGAATACACCTCCAGATCATTGCAGCGAGACCGTGTCCACTAGAGGTCAGTGAAAACAAGACTGCTCAGACACGTTCCTGTAAAAGTTAAACATGACAGCCGTATTAGTTCAAAATGTTCAAAAAGAGGCGAAGAAGAGGAGGGTGGGACAGAGAAAGAGAAGAGCTGTATGTTAGACTCTGAACCAAACAAACACACCCACACTTTCACACACCTGAGCTCTGCAGTCAGTCATTCATGAGTTCAGATCCACAGAGACACAAACACAATATAACGCTTGTGCACAGAGGAACCGGAGAGACGCTCAGACAGAAGAAAAAAAAAAAAACTAATTTATCTCCTGTACATCATACATTAAAAACTCTCCCTAATTTCAGGCATGTTTGCACTCAGCATGTTTTTTTAGACCCTTCAGGCTTTTACCTCCCAAGTGCAGAGACACAGACAGTCAAAAACAACACAGAGACACACCTGACCGGGAAATATCTGAGTCTGTTCATCTGCAGTCGGCTGAGAGAGAGGGGAAAAGTGAAAAAACGACTGGTTAAAGGTTAATCTTTAGACTGTGGTAACCCAAAAAACTTTTCTAATTTTTAAAATGTAGACATGTAAAATAATAAAACACCTTTCAGATGGTCTTTTTTTTTTTTTTAAATTATGCAGAGAAATTGCAAATTAACTTCTGGTGAATTAGAAACAAGCTCTTTGGAGTTTATCTGTTTGTTAACTTTAAATTGTTCTTGTTCATCGTGTTTCAAACTATCTAGTGACAAAAATATCAGCTTTTCTTATAGAGACACACTGTATAAAGAGTAGATAGTCTCGGCTGTCACTCATTTTTCTCCGATTTCAGGATTCAGAGACACGGCTGTGAGTGTTTATTGAATGACCAGATTTCTCTGTGAGCGCATTAACGCCATATCATGAATATGATCAAAATCCATGTAAACACACTTGTTTACTAGTCCCACTGTCCTCGCCACTGTCACTCATGTTAGATGAGATGGGTCAAATCTGTCCCATCCATAGACTGTATATACTATGGTTTCGCCTTCTGTCTGTATACGGATTTGAAGCTAAAAAAGCTCTCGGTATCGCCAGGATTTTCTCCACTTCCTGGAACCACTACTTGTGCAGTAGCATCAATCATAGAAAACATGAACCCCCTAATAACTTTTAAAAATAAAGCTGCACAGAAAAAAAAGAGGACTTGAGCACAAACCAGTCTGACAGTAACTACATGTCAACATCATAACCAGGGGGGAGAAAAATTTATGTTCTGTGTAATAAATTTCTAAAGTTTGTCCACAGCTCCATAAACTTTGCTGGAGGAGGCGGATTTATGACCTATACTGCAGCCCGTCACCAGAGGGTGCTGTTCTTGCAGTGGCTTCACCCAGCGAGGAGGCAGACGGCGTCCATTCTATATACAGTCTATGGTCCCCTCTTCAGGTTGAGTCTTGGTAATTCATCAAAAAATGAGCGTGGTCTAGACCTGCTCTTTTGGAAAGCATCTCAGGATGATGATTGTTGTGATTTGGCGCTATATAAATAAAATTTGATTTGATTGAATTTGACTCATAAATGCTGTAAAGTGTTTCACTCGTGTAGTTGAAGAAGAGGATGTGAGCGGGTCTGATCTTACAAGATGAGGCTCAATCTAGTCCCATCTTTGTAAATAAGAGTCTGATCTAGACCGGCTTTTCTTCGTTCAGCGTCTTGAGAAAACACTCCTTATGAGATAAAGATTGATTGAACCCTGACTCTCACCCTCTCCTCTTATATCTGGGTTCATGAGCCACAGACGTAGAAGTTTAAACTTATTTTTCTTCTCTGTTTACGTAAACTAAATGGTAGATTTTCACAACAGAAACCAGACACGTTTAACTTCTACAAACAGTAAGGATCTAAATAATGATGATATATATCTTTTAAAGTGTGATTTATGCATAAAGCACCTAAAAGGTGAATTTGAACATGTATTCGTACAGTTTTTCACACAGAGGAAACACTTTTTTTCGCCTGCAGAGCATAAATCATGAATGAGCTCCTCTTTCCTCACATTTTTTATTTCCACGGTTTATTCATTAGATGTTTGATACGTATAAGAAAGAAAGAAATGTATATAAATGTTGCTGTTAGTTTTCTTCTGCAGAACATGGATCATAAATGACCTTCTTGTATCAAAGCTGGAGGTTTTGCAGAGTAAACAATAAATCCAGCCTCTCATGAATGAATATTTAATGTGCTGTGACACCTGTAGCGACCTCTCTCGGCGGTTCTTTATATTTCATGTGATTCAGGACCATTTCACCGCACTAAATCACTAGTTGTTTCCCTTCAGGGCCTATAGGTGCAGAACAATGAGGCGCAATTTTAGGCCACATTTCCCAGAAATCCATGCAGCCCTGCATAAGAGGTGTGAGGCTGTGAAATAGGTTTTTCCTGCCCTCTGACCCCTCCGCCTGTCCTCTCGCCTCATTACTGTCACAGCAGAATTGAGCATGAATTGCTCTGCTGTTTCCACAAAACAGATTTATGAAAGTACACAGACCAGCAGTCAGGCTCATGTGATGAGCAGGCGGGAACTCGCACAGACACAGAGCACACGCGCAGAAATGCGACTGCAGAGCCGGGCGGACTTAACGCGCACTCAAACCACGACATGTGCATGAATAGATATTACTGGACATGTCCATATCAGCAGATTCTGAGCATTTTGAATCATGCGACAAGACAACAGACGTGATGTTTTAAGAATAATCGATGAATTAAGGCAAAAACAATGAATACGTGGAGGAAAATGTTAAATGTAGAGAGTTCTACACTGATCAGAAGGTGAATATGAAGTTTTTGTGCATTAAAGATGTTTTCAATTTTGGTTGATGGTACTTTTGGTGGGTGGGATTTAACAGGGGGTAAAACAAGAAGGTATAGAGATGTTGACCAGCACTACACACCAATCTCCAGTGTCCAGGAGACAAGCTCGGTGACTCCACCATTGCTCTGGTTGGTATGGGCTATGGTTTCCGCTTGCTTCTCTAGCTATACCAAATTTACTAACGACCGCAGATAGCAATACACAGTGGAACCACACAAACCTCAACCAAAACGCCACTCTATAGCCAAGAAAAACGCTCAGAACAGCACCTAACTTCATCAACAGGACATATAGGGTCACAGCCATAGTACTAGACACCAAACATCTTTTTAACTTTGACTCATTTCTTCTTCATTTCCTTGAAGTAATAATCATCATATTAATCATTTTGCAGACGTGGTAGTTCTTCTGTTTTAGCTTCTCGGTCTGATTGTATTTCCATAAAGAAATTATCATAAATGTTCTTCCTTGAGCTGCGTCACCCCGCTGTAGTCCGTAATGGACTGGCCTGAGGTCTCCGTACAAACAAGCGTCTGCTGGAAGAGAGTAGGTGAATTGTGTTTAGTCTCTTTGCTAAAGAAATTAGTCAAAGTTAAAAAGATGTTTGGTGTCTAGTGCTATGTCTGTGACCCTATATGTCCTGTTGATGAAGTTAGGTGCTGTTCTGAGCATTATTTGTGGTTATAGAGTGGCGTTTTGGTTGAGCACGTGGCTCTCTGTATTGCTATCTGTGGTCGTTACTGAAGTTGGTTTAACTAGAGAAGCAAGCGGTGGGAAACATTCATCTCTCGACGGGGTGTCTAACTTAGTGTTGCGGTGTGTTTGACCCTAAATTAATTTTACACCAGAATATCCCTTTAAGTACAGGAAGTAGGCGATCAGTGCATAGAGCCCATTGAACCGTTGTGTTAAACTCGCTTAATTTATGCACATTTGAACGCCTGGAGGATTTCTCTGCTCTTAATCTGGATTTAACTCTCCTCCTAAATGTTGCCAAAGGCTCATTCATGGTTATTGGTCCCTCTGAATAATTGAAGAGTGCAGTTTAGTTCTGGAAAGAGTCTTAAAATAACTTTGGTTAGGATTTGGCATGTGGCAGCCACAGCGAGTGGAGGAAGTCTGCAGTCAGACCAAATGTCATTTCTTTTCTACTTGCCAGACAACGCCACCCTGGGAATTTCACCCAGAGTAGTATTATCTTTTTTTCCCTTCCCAACAAGAGAACACACAGGTTTGTTACACTCAGGAGGTTCCAGTTGTATAAAATAAACATTTTATTTTAAATCTGTTTTAAAAATGTTTTTTTACATACCACCACCCGGATCACCAGCACCACCACAGGCCCACAGCAGCTGAAAAGGGAAATAAAACCATGAGTGGGGGTCAAAATAATCGACATAAGCAAAACACACAAAAACACACTAATCTGCAGTTAATGAAACAGGCCTACAAACGAAGGAGCAGGAAGAGTTAACTAAACAAAAGTAATCAAACAAAAAGAGTACAACTATAGGTTCAAGGGTATCTTTATTATCCCAGAGAGACAATTTACTTCACAGCCAGCAGTATAAACACACAGTTAACACAACAGGCAGAAAACAGAGCAGGAGAAACAGCAGGCAAAACCAGGAGAAAGACCAGGAGACAAAAACCAGGAGACAAAACCAGGAGACAAAAACCAGGAGACAAAACCAGGAGACAAAACTAAGAGACAAAACTAGGAGACAAAAACCAGGAGACAAAACCAGGAGACAAAAGTAGGAGACAAAACCAGGAGACAAAAACCAGGAGACAAAACCAGGAGACAAAACCAGGAGACAAAACTAGGAGACAATCAGCAAACAGCACAGGCCCCTGATCAGCTGCTAATGGCCAACATCTTGTAGCAGTGAAAACCGACTGCACTCAGAAGCAAACTAGTAGCATTAGCATTAGCATTAGCCGCTAGTAGTATGATTCACGATAGCAGAGAGAGAGAGAGAGAGAAAGTCACCACTGCAAACCAGGAGAGAAACACACACATCAGTTACTCTGAAGCACAAGACAAAAGATATAAACACTGAGTCGATGAACCACAAAGACAGCAAAGTAAGACAATGAAGACATACCTGTCTGAGCCAAACACCTGAAGAAGAACAAACAGGATCAGGGGGAGGAGTCACCGTTTAAATACTCTACACCTGTGCACTGATTGGACACCTTAGGCTCTCAATTAACTGAAGCAGCTCACTGCATAAAATAAAATAAAATAAAATAAAATAAATAAATAAATAAATAAAAATAAAATAAAATAAATAAATAAAATAAGATAAATAAGATAAATAAGATAAAATAAGATTAAAAAAAAAATTTAAATAAAATAAAATACATTTATTTTACACAGGTGCATTTGGTGAAATATTTTCCAAATATTTGAATGAACTCATATCACTTTGTAAAAACTCAATGGTACAGGCAGGTCTGGACTGAACTGCAGGACCTTCATCACAATTATTGAAAGCAGAGACATACTGAAGTACCAGAGAAGATTTTTCTCTCTGACTGTCTGTCTTTGTGTGTTTCTCTGCAGGGACTGTGATTTTCTTTTCACAGCGAAGATAACAGCTATGTGAAGGTTACAGAGAAGAGAGATTTCCCACCAATCAAAAAAAAAAAAAAACTTTGAAAAATCATCACAAACCAGATGTTGGAGAACTCTCTGAAGGCTTCGCTGAGGTACAGCATTCACAAAAATGGGCAAAATGTAAGGTTACACGAACCCTGACCTTTGACTTTATGTGAAAAAAACATCATCACTGATTCTTTTTTTCCCCCTGGAGAACAATAGAGTGACCTTTCACCTCCAAAAACTAATAGATTCATATTCGGAATAACAGGCGCTTAAACAGGAGGTAAACCAGACAAGAGCTAAAAAGGCAGGTCAACATCAATGAGGCATAAATGATGGGGGACGATTTGGGATCTTGGTGATCCTGTAACCTGCTGGTAGTCTGTTGGCATCTACAGTAGCACCAATGCTTTTGACTTTCACCTTGACTGGGCCCCATTTGTAATGATCTGAAGTATTTATCTGCATTATATCTGAATTTAATCGGAAGGATACGAGCGAGCAGGAGCGTCTGTTTGTGGGCGGGGCTTGGAGGAGCAGAGAGGGAGGGGAGAGGAGGAGCTGAAGGGAGGGGTAGAGTTCAAGATTTCTCCTAAAAACTTGAACTTCCTCAGATCCTGACTACCCCACCTTTAACCAGACAAGACACAGAATCCACACAGAGAGGCCTCTACCTGGCCGGGGATTCGAACCAGAGACCCTCATACTTAATTTGTTTGTTGTACTACACTGATTGTTTCACTGTAATAGAAATAGAAATAGAAATAGGCTCCTTTGACTTTTCAAATGATATTCTTAATAATCAAACAGGCTTTGTGTATTTATTGCACACATCCAAACAGACTGAAAAGTCTTTTGTCTGATTCTTCTGACTCTGTGCTGCAGGAGTTTCAACATACTGTCGATGATGGTGGTGGTCCTGGTGAAAAGAAGCAACTCTGCCTCTGTATTAGCCGATTGATCAGTGAGATCAATCGAAAATGAACTCTGAAGGTTGGACCTCTCTCACTCTGCAGGACTGTTAACACATCTCACGTAAAACACACACGGACACACACTTACACACTCAGACACAGGGGTTACTTTAAGTGGATAATGAGGACGACACCCCGGGTGCTGAAATAATTGAAGCTGTTTGATGTCTCGTCGAATAATACTCACACACCTTTGACTCACTCTCTGCTTCTGTCTCTCTCTCTCTTGTCATTTCTCTCACACATTAAACCTTTTCCTCATTAGGATGATGAACAGTAAAACGCACACATTCGAGCTGGACCACAAAAGCAGGCGCGCACACCTGAACTAAACCTGATAGATGTCTGATCCTTGAAGTTGTTCAGAGGAGCTCAATATATGGGTCTCTAATAAATCCTGACAGAAGCGTGTATCTGTGTGTTAAGGAGAGTGATGTATGGATCCTTTAGAAGAAGAAAGTGGGCATGTATATAATTACTGCGGTACTTTGTTTTAGATCTCATCAGAACACCTTTGCACTGAGTATCTTTGCACCGAATAGAAAAAGTGTGAAAGTCAGAAGTTCTGAGTTTCTGTTGGTTTCATGTAATTCACTGTTCGGCTCATCTAAGTCGACAGCTGCTTGCAAACTGCATCAATTGTCACAAGGTGAAGTCCGAAGTCAAATATAAGGTGATTGCAATGTCTGGTCACTCCTCTGTTAAAGGTGAGCTGCAGCATGGGTGGAAAATGATGCGACCTAGTACTAGCAGCCGTCCGAGAGGCGATTTTGTACTTTTAAAACCGGCATTTAGAGATCCAAAGTGATCAAAGTTAGATTGAAGTTAGAGCTTCAGATTACTATCAATTGAACATTTAATCTCTTTAATTTAAACTTATCTTTTAGATTGCTTTAAAACTGTTGAAAGCCCGCAGAGACATATTTACATAATACACAATTAAAGGAATATTCTGGCGTAAATTAAGTTAAGGTCAAACACATCGTAACACCGAGTTAGACACCCCCTCGAGAGATAAATGTTGCTGTCAGCTTCCTTCTCTAGTTATACCAACTTTAGTAACGACCACAGATAGCGCTCAACCAAAACGCCACTCTATAGCCACGAATAATGCTCAGAACAGCACCTAACTTCATCAACAGGACATATAGGGTCACAGACATAGTAGTAGACACCAAACATCTTTTTAACTTTGAATCATTTCTTTAGCAAAGAGACTAAACACAACTCACCCACTTTCTTCTGTTGTCCATTTCCTGGTTAGCCTATTAGGTATCAAAACAATCAACAAACAGATAAGCCAGAAGCACACAGGTTGTGTTACTTCACAGCTCTGCACCTTTCGTATGTATGAAGGGAGGTTTAGTTGCTGTTTTACTTCTGGGTCAAAGCTTGTTTAGGGTGACTATACGCCCTCTTTTACCCCGACCTGTCCTCTCTTTTGGGGGCAGTCCGGCCTTGTTCGGGGAGGTTTATAAAATCCTTAAACGTCTGGAGTTTTGAATGGAAGCTTTGAGTTCATAGTGCGTGGACTTCCTGAGTTATGAGCGCGTAAAAGACACTCGATCTGACCCGAAAAACTCTCAAAATTAACTACGCGTGACTCCGCCCCCCGTAGTCGTGTCCTCTTTTTGGAGATTCAGAATACGGTCACCCTAAGCTTGATGTACAAACTGTGGAGCCTGTGCAGAGAGATAAAGAGTTTACACGCACAAGAAAATCAAACATCATCTTCGTAGATGTGACTCTGAGAAAATTCATTCAGTGTGATTTCAGATTTCAGTTGGAGGTGTTTGCATGTTATTCAAGAGCCTAGACTAGAGCAACAAATCAGATTTTTACACAAGACGTAAACACACGGGCTGATCAGCTGTCTCTGAGGAGAGGTTTTGCATGGATATCATTCGGAGGCCTTTATGCACTTTCATCAAAGTTGTTCCAATTAACTGGCAGGACAAAGCCGTGGTTGAATAGCTGTAATATGAGCGCTGGATGTTTCCGATGCTTTCAGTAGGACTTAATGAACCTGCCGCGTGTCGTCTTTGATGGAAAATGGAAGTGATTGCACACAGTGTGCAGACAGTGGAAGAACAGGTCACAGCTCACGTCTGCCCCGGGTCTTTAACAGATTAATCCAGCCATGGTAACAGCAGAGACCAACACTGACAATACAAAGGAAGTGACTCACAAAAGCTATTCTGTCAGCTCCACATGCATAGATAAGCGTTTAGATGAAATGATGTGTATGCACAGAAATCCTCTCATCCGCCTCGCCTCGGTCAGGACTTTCACTCTCCTCAAAAAGTTGCACCAGGGTGAAAAGTTCACAATTTGGTTTATTTTTTCTCACGAGACATTCAGATGAAAAAAGTTGCGAGTATGGAGTTAATGAGTTGTCAAAGAAGTTTTGACTCCAGTCGGTGCCCTGAAAGTGAGTCCGTCCTTTGATAGATCACAGCTGATGCAACTGTAAAATATCAAAAAGAGGTATTATCTAAGGAACTCCAGTCTGAGGTGTCATAATCATAATCAGACTCAGGTCAGTTATAGTCCAGGTAGGGCTGGGCGACACATCGAATAATCTTAGCATGCTACAGTTTTCACATCTATTGATACTGACATTGATTACTGTCAAAGTAAATAACAAATCAGTGTTTCTTTCATATTTTAAAGTTATTGATAAAGTATCAGTTTGTTCAATTTGGTAAAGCTAATAAAACAAATCATGTTTGGTTCGTCTGACAATGAAAGGCAGGAAGACTCAGAAATAAGAAGCATATTTATTCATTTTATATGTCTTTCAGTCCTTTAAATTTGTGTTCGGTCAAATGGCACGGTGTTGGAGAACAGTGATATGAGACTTTGCTGATGGTGAGTCTCACTTCACTGCCCGCTGAGCTCATTTTAACTCTTGTTCGGTCCTAGAACCTCTTGCTTAAGGTGTGTTTCAAGGACTCACTCCGATGAAAATCATGTTTTTCTTGTTTGTGATGCTGCTCGTCTTCGCCGGTCTATCTTTGCTGCTCTGTCCGACAGAAAACAGTCAAAATATCTAAAAACAACTGAAGTTAAGAAGCTCGTCTTTGTGTAGCTACAGTGGTTTCTTTATATGTCTGTAATCCTGTGATCTGATTGGCCGCATGTCTTGGTCCTCTTCTTCTCTGTAATATCCACTGTCATCTGACATTTTAGCACATTAGCGCCCCCTTTCTATGATCCAACAAGTAGGCTGATAAAAACCTTTAATCAAAAAAACATTGGGACAGATTTGATTTCTGATGAAGTTTGAACTTTATTAATCTTATATGACTTCATCTGTGTCAGAGTTTCCTCCTCCTGAGCGGCTGAAGAAAGAGCCTGAAGGTGTCCGATTCTTCATAAACTCTCCCTCCAGGGCTCGGTCACGGGTCCTTCATCACTTTCTTACACAATGAGGTCAGGATCAGCAGCAGAGTCCTCCTAAAACACGTCCTAAAGTGGTTTTAATCCTCTTCTGAAGTAAAGATGTTTCATGAGTTATTAAAGTTACAACACCGTCTTGGAGTACTGCTGCTTCTTCTTCCTTGTTATGGCCATGATGAGGAGCATGTTGTCTGTTTGTTTATGATTATAATCATGCTGAGCGTACTGGAGGAGACTGAAGCACGAGTGAAACAAGAAGCAAATATTTGAGTCTGGGCGGGAGGATTAATCCAGCCCCAGTCCCCGTTAAATAGACGCCCATGTTTGGAAAGTGTTAGAATTAAAGGTTAGAGCTCACTGAAGAGTCAGCAGCTTCAGGACACTTTTAGACAGAAACGGTCTCCAAAGAAAACGGAAACGTGCCGTTTCGTTTTCAGTTTTTATGCTGTGTTTACACAAAAATGCAATGTGGTTGAAAACGCTGTAATGTGCATGCCAGGTCGCTAGGTGGCGCGTCTCGGTGTGACCACACTCCCATATAGACCAACAACGCATACGTAGAACAACTTCCAAAGACGTCCCCTTGTTCCCCTCCGCCGACCAGTTGGCACATTTATTATTTGATGCAAATAATTCAGACGCCTCCTCTGCTGAGCGGGATGATCCGTGAGGATTCTGTACGGGTCGAAATCAAGCTCCTGCTGTTCCATAATAACGACAGCGAGACTCGAATGTCTAGTATGGTTGTTGTTGTTATGCACATGGCTATGATGTCATAAGCGTGAGCCGACGTGAGCCAGGGCGTCACAGGTTTGAGTGTTTTCAGTGTTTTTGTACTTTAGACAAAAGCAGGACTAGCAGAGCGTTTACAACATTTCCACTCTGGAAACCACTTTGTTACGTTTTCATCTCCTGAAAACACAGTTACCGTCTAAACCGACCCCCCTAAACAAAACTAAACTTTTCCGTTTTCTATGAGACCGTGTCCGTCTAAAAGTGGCCGTAGTCGAGTCACTTCGAAACAACGGACAGAAACATCTAATGACACCCTGACGTGGACTCTGTTAAACCTGTGCACTTCTCTCTGTTTGATTAATAAACAGGTTTACATGTAAAAAAACAGAGTTTTGTTCTGTGAGCTGACAGAGAGAGTCAAATAAAAACACTTTACGAGCAACTTTTCCCCAGCACGCCTTATCTGAGCATATTTAGCGCTGTGCTGACATCCCATATTTATTTTCTGGATAATGTACTCAATCAAATTAACTCGAGTGCATTTATCAGGACTATTCAGCTCCTCTGGTCCCGAGAAACAACACGTACACTTATTAGAAAGCGAGCAGCTGTTTAAATCAGACGTATTTGACAAATACGACACATTTAATTTTCCGTCTCTAATCCTTATTTCAACCTGCCAGGCAGCAACTCCGAGTTTAATCCATTTTTAGGATTAAAAACTAAGAACATCTGAGTATACTGTGATTTATTCAGAAGGATGAATCTCTCAATAACCTCATTTATTACGCTTTATCATTTACAAACATGCCTTTTTGCACCACCTTTATAAACTTTCACCAATCTCAATGTAAGGTGTTGCTTCGTTTATTTCTGATTATTTCCAAAACTCTGAACAACCATTGTTCTCGAACCACAGTCTCTTCTTCATCGAGGTCAAAGGTGGACACCAAATGTTTGCTGAGTTTGAATCTGAGACTTTCTTGGTGTTTTTGTGTTTCTTTCTCCTGATTTAAGTTCTTGCTCCTGCTATCCTCCACCTGTATCAGTCTCTGTTTCTTATTCCTGAGTTTACGATTTGAAATTCAGAAGCTGACTTGTTGGAGTAAAAGCGACGGAGAGGATTTCTGTGTAAATCTGGTGCTTTTAATCTCCCGAGCACTGAGTCATCGCTGTGTGAAAGAGAAATGACTCCTGGTTTTATCCAGTTATGGTAAAAAGAAGAATAAAAGTTCCTTTTTTAGAAAGATCACTTCAAATTTGGTCGATGTGTTTGAGTTTCAGAGGAGGAGGGTTGAGTCCTTTTATTATAAAACTAGTCCTGAGCGGAGCCGTAACAAAGGAGCGCCACCGTCACAGCTGAGCGTGTGTCATACTGAGTCTGTGTGTGTGTGTAATGTTAGTGTCCCAGTGTGGTTTTATATTGTGGTAATGCTGCAGGAGCTCTGCACGAATCATGGGATCCCCACACACACAAACACACGTATGCATGCACACACCATAGACTGTATTTACTACGGACAACATGGTTTGTCTTCCCCCATCATACGGATTTGAAGCCGAAAAGTTCTCGGTTATTCCGCGATTTTTCCCCACTCTCTGAGACAAACATTGCACAGTCGGGCTGTACGCATTCAGCGGGAGAGTCGCTGTGATGACGCTCGGCTCCAACAGCTATCCCCGCATTCTTCGCACACCCATTGGCTGTATCAAGAGTCAATCATAGAAAACATGAACCCCCTAATAACTTTTAAAAACGGAGCTGAACAGAAAAACGAGGACTTGAGATCAAACCAGTCTGACAGTAGAAGCCAAATATGTTGCTGTGATACATTTTATGAGTTGCAGTTCACTTTTTGTGCCTTCGGTGTCGCTGTCTCGTTATCTGGGGGCTCGGGGAGAAAGGTAACCATGTGACTGTTGTGGGCAGGTGTTTGACCATAGACTGTATATAGAATGGACGCCGTCTGCCTCCTCACTGGGTGAAGCCACTCCGAGAACAGCACCCTCTAGTGACGGGCTGCAGTATAGGTCATAAATCCCTCCTCCTCCATCGATCCTTATGGAGCTGTGGACTAACTTTAAAAATTTATTAGACAGAATGTAAATGTTTCTCCCCTCTGGTTGCGATGTTGATGTTTGATGACTCAAAATAAACTGAAAATAACGTTGTGTGTTCTTGTTTTCACACAGTGCGAGTAGAAATCATCAGTGGTGCATTGACATTAACGATCATGTAAAATTTCAGCTGCGGTGCACGTAATTTAGCGATTGAGCGGTGCTGAATGAATGAAGGGGAAACACTGCGGTCTATGACACACACACACAGAGCGCTGTCCCGCCCTGTCTGCTCCACCTGTCTTGTCTTTCCTCTGTACTTCCTCCACTCTCAACACCGTCACATCTTCAATAAGCAGTAGGTGGTGTGTTACAGCCGCCTCCACTTCACACAAACACACAAACTTATCCGGAGTTTCAGTAGCTGACCGGGTCAGAAAAGAGCAGTTTTAGTGGTAAAGAGACTCTGAAAGACACAGACACCAACTCCTGCTCCTTTATCTCAGTGCCGCCTCGCTCTCTTTTTGTTTCTCTATTTCACACAAACGCTTTTTCGCAGAAAATTAGTCACAAAATCAAGACACAAACATTTTGTCATCAAATCTTTGTGATTTTTTTCTGTCTTGTGCACAAATGTCTTGCAGAAAGAAAACAGGTTATTACTGCTGCTTCGTGCTCATAATTACAAGTAATAACTGCGGTGCGTTATGAGATATCGAGGTAACGAGGTATCGGCCTGAAACTCAGACGCTGCTTTTATTTTCAGTGTAAAATCCTGATCATCCAGGCTGAGCTGTTTCAGCGCCGTTGATTCCTCACTGGACGTGTTTAAGACGTTTCTACTGTCTGCGTCATCGAAGTGCAGATTCAATTTAGCTCTGATTCCCTCTGATAACTCTGCAGCTCCAAGTTTTTACTCTCATTTCCAGACAACGATGAAAACTCTGCGACAGTTTTTTCATTTTTAACCTCGTCAGCTGAGAAAATGCAAAACAAGAAATCTGAAATCCCGAATCAATCAGTGTTCATAGAAGATAATATCTTTATTATTCATATTCTCTTTACAATATTGGAAACCAAAACAGACAGACGGCATCTTAATAAAATCTCTCACAGAGAAACGACAGAGCGAAACATGGGGCGGCCCACATTGATACAAAAATAAACTTTATGAATGAAAAACAACAAAAAAACAAAAACGGTAACTTACATTCATGTGAAGTCACATTCTGCACAATATCAACACAGTTACAGACTTTATTTACAACACGACACGATCAATACCAACTTTAATTTTCTACAAAAACAGTTTCTTTTTAAGACAACAGTCACATTAAAGTCACACACTGACGGAAACTGGACTCTAAGAAGACGTCAAATACTTCCCCTGGATTTGAGTTTGGACCGACTCGACTCAGCAGCAGAGACTCAGACGTCAAACTTTTGATGGAGAACCGCAGCAGCTCTCATTAAGGCTCACATGATTCATCCCGGATATTGACTGCAGATGGGTTTTAGCAGAAACGTAAATGCTGATGTCTTCTGTGACATTTAGTGATTGCTACTTATTAAAGTTTATTGCTTCCAGGCTTTATCGTTATCCAAAAAAGTCGCCTCTGACTCAGCGGAACATAATCCAATCAATCTTTGAATAACGGGAGGAGTTGTGTGAAAGTTTGAGGGAGATTTGAACTTCGGTCATTTGAGGTCATTTACTGACATTTTTGTTTCCTGCGTGAGTAACATCAGAAGGTCAGAGACAGCTTTGTTTTCTTCTGTGCTGAACTTAACTTTTGTATAAACAGGTGAACGGTGAGCCTGTGCAGCATACATATCCTGTTTTTGTGATTTTTGAGCGCTAAGACTGGAAACTGTTTGTTCAGGTAGGGTGACTATAAAAGAGGACCGACTACGCGGGGGAAGAGTCACGGAGTCGCACAAAGTTAATTTTGAGAGATTTGGGGTCACAAATTGAAACTTGCATACAAAACCGCGGACATTTGAAGGATTTTATAAACTTCCCCGGACAAACCCGGACAGCCCCCCAAAAGGAAGACATGTCCGGGTAAAAGAGGACGTATGGTCACCCTAAAGTCGGTCACACTAGCCTGTATCAGCCGACAGCTCAGCTAATAACCTTCTCTTCATTCCAGCTCCTCTTTTTGAGTCTGGGTCTGATTCGATCAGGGTCACAGGTGTTGTCACTGATGCCAGCTCGGTTCTGCACCCTGGGGGTCTTTGCTGCTGCTCACTTTGTCTTTGCTTTTCATGTCAGCATGTGGATGAGTGGGGCCGGGACCATTTTAGGGATGAACTGATGCAAGAAAACAGAAGAGCAGCTCGTTACTAAATGAGGCTCAACATGAGGGATCTCCTTTAAGATTGAGGTTCAGATGAGTGAAATCAGGTCTTCCTGACGTCGGACAGAGGATCTGCTGCTGAATGTTGAATTTGAGATTTCAGTTTTCTCTATAACCGAACACTCAAACTTGTGCTTAAGTATCTTATTTGACGACTCCAACTGGTGTTCTCAAGATAAAATGAGTCCAAAATATAGATGGAATTATAATATTTTTTTATCAGGACTTTTATCGTTATCACCAGAATGGAAAAATCTCATCGTGATAATTATTTTTTTTTCCCATATCGCCCATCCCTGCTCCTGAAATGATTCACCTTTTTTCCCCCCTAAACTAGTTCAACCCAAACTGCAGATTTATGACGTGTATTGATTACCTGCTGCTTCCACTCATTCATAAAAAAGAAAGGTGGTTGAAATGATCTTGTCTGAAGTGGAGACAGTTGTTCTCATCGCTCAGAAATGCAGCTTAAAGGTCAAACCAGGACTGGAAAACAT